CTGTCAGCCTCGCGCAGCCTCGCGGCAGCCTCGCACCACAAGTCTCACCATGTACATGCCCCATCCATCGCTAACACGGCTGCCTGGAGCACCTCCGCAGTCTATCGCTATCCGCAATTGCCCTCACCGCCGCCCTCGTTACACGCCAGCCCGCACGCTCCCGCCTCGTTGCCCCGCATTCGTGTTGGCACAGGCAAACCGCCATGTCCTCGCACAGCAACCAGGCACATGCATAGGAGCAGCAGCAGTCCCCGTTCTTCCGCCTGCCTCGAGAGCTTCGCGATCAAGTCTACCGCTATGCCTTCACCGCATCGCCGCCTCCATACCTCCCCGACCCCGAAGAAGGGCTGCCAGTTCCACAATCGTCACATGTGGCCCTGCCCCGATTCACGTGTCGCCGCATGAGTATGGAGGCGAGGAACATAGTGTTCCAGGACAATATACATGTCCTTGATTGGCTGCAATGCCGCCGCTCTTACGCTCGCCCAGGCCACTTTCTCCAGCGCCTGTCCAGGCTGGAGCGGAATCTGCAACAGGCGATAAACAAGATCGCACTGTATACTCCGCCAGAAGACTTGGACGAGCTTCTTGGACCGCTGAGGATTCACTACGCCTCAAGTTGGAGTCCCGTCAAAAGATTGGAGGAGCTCAGAATCATTCTCAGTGTTCCCACCATCCGCGATCCTGCAGTCCGTCGTTCAAGGATTCAGGATGAGAACGAGGTCTGTCGGACAGCATCTTCTCTTGCGCACGTGGACAAGGTGGTCGTCCAGAACATTTTCTACATGGACAAGAATGACTTTAAAGCGCCCGCGCCAGGGAGGAGTTGGAAACTGTTGGACACGGAAGACGACAACCCTCGACTGAATGACGATCTCTTCGAAATGGTGTTTACCTTCTCCTCGCCTTGAGCACCTTCTCGTAAATGCACAGTCAGCCTGTCAACCCACGGAGTGGGTGGCTGACCGTTTATAGACAGCTTGTATCGATAGATTGAAATCACTATCGGGCAAAGCTTGCTCTGACCACGAGCCTCACCAAATTGGTTGGACTGCCTCTCTCCAATCGCGTGTGCAATATGTGCCTTGCCTCTGACTGCCGACAGGGAGCTTTCTCGTGCATGATAAGATCTGGAGTGCGTCTTACGTACATACGATCTCGGTAGTTGGATGAGATGTCCGTAGACAATACAACATGCACTACATCAGGACATTTCACTCGACCACATAATACATGCCTTCTAGCTGCACTCCGATACGGGATCATATTCTGCTTGCTCCGTCATAAAGACTTCAACTGCGTGCTTCTGTCCATCTGCTTGACAATCTCACAAACTTTGGTAGCCATGAAGTCGCTCGTCTTCTCTACATTCGCTGTGCAGGCTCTAGGCCATGCGATCTGGCAGGATCTGTGGGTCAACGGCGTCGACAAAGCCAGCACCTGTGTGCGCCTACCTGGTACGAGTTATGTCTCCAACTCGCCGGTCACGGTACGCTCATCCCAACGATGGCCAGGACACCGTCTGTACTAACATCAACACACAGAGTGTGTCCTCGAACGACATACGCTGCAACGCCGGCGGTTCCAAGGGCGTAGCAGGCAAATGTGCCGTCACAGCAGGCGACACTGTCACTGTCGAGATGCACCAGCAGAACGGGGACAGGGGCTGCAAGAACGAAGCCATCGGCGGTGCACACTATGGCCCTGTCATGGTATACATGAGCAAAGTCGACGACAGCAGCAAGGCTGATGGGAGCAGTGGATGGTTCAAAGGTAATGGGCAGAACATCTCCACATCTTACACATTACTGATAGCGGTCAGTGTACGAGAACGGCTGGGCGGCAGCAAACAAGGGTGCGGCCGACAACGACAACTGGGGTGTCAAGGACTTGAATACATGCTGCGGGAAGGTCGACGTCAAGATCCCCACCGCACTGGCTGCTGGAGACTACCTACTTCGTGCTGAGGTCATTGCCCTTCACACTGCTGGGTCATCAGGAGGAGCGCAGTTCTACATGTCTTGTTGTGAGTTTGCTTCTCACATACCGATAGCATAGAGCTTGACTGACATCCCACAGATCAACTCACCGTCTCTGGCACTGGCACCCTCAGCCCTCAGACCGTAAAGTTCCCAGGCGCATACAAAGCTTCTGACGCCGGTATAATGATCAACATCCACTCTTCTGTTAGCAAGTATGTTATCCCTGGCCCAGCCGTGATTGCTGAGGGCCAGACGGTAGTGCCGGGTGCTCCTGTGTGCCCAAAGGCAAAGATGATCAGGGGTTTCAACAATCTTCTCGGATAGGGGATTGATCGATGAGGGAGGGTAAATATGCATGATGTTCAGTTTTTCATTCAACCTTGGCTTCTAGACTTATATGAAAGCTCTCAGATATTCTCCCAGCGCCATTATCGCCATCGCTTGCCCGTACGGCATACTCGTGATCTTGATATCCTTGTAATGCTGCAAATCGTGTCCCATGCCCGTCCCGAAACTAACCTCCTGCAATTCTCCATCCTTATCAATCCTCTGAAGCACCGCCTTGACCGCCTTGACCGCAGCTTCTTGATACACCTCTCCACTGATATACCTCTTCCTGACCGCCTTGAGCATACCATACGCGAATCCCGCAGTCGCCGAAGCCTCTTCATAACTCCCCTCCTCAACACCCACATCCAGCAGCGTCCGCCACATGCCATTCTCAGCCTGCAACTTAAGCAACGCCGCACACTGACTCTCCAACGTATGAATCAGAAACTGCCTGAGCGGATCCTTCTCCTCCAGCCCCAACAGTTCGATGAAATCCGGAATCGCAATCGTCAACCAACTATTCCCCCTCGCCCACCTCGCGCGCGCGAAATTATGCCCAATCTCCAATTTCCCACTGTCGGCATCATTCCACTTCCACCCGTGGAAAAACAGCCCCGTCGTCGTGTCGCACAGATACTGGCAATGCAGCAGGAACTGTCGCTTCGCCTCCTCGACATAGTGCGGGCGATTCAGCACAAGTCCGATTTTCGCAAGCGGCAGTGCGGACATCATCAGCGTGTCGTCCCAGAGTTCGTCTTTGTTGAACGAGTTGTACGTCTCGTGCTGGAAGCCTTGATACTTTGTCCGCGGGAGGTCGTGCATGAGCCACTCCGCCCACGTATCCAGCCACGGGATGAACGTCTTGTTGCCTGTTTCTTCGTAGAGATATGCGAGTGTGAGGAAGGGGCTCATGGTGTTGATGTTCTTCGTCGTGCCGAGGGCGAGTTGGCGCGTGAACCAGTCTTGGATGGTGGAGAGGGTGGAGGTGGAACCCGTGAGGGTGTAGTAGTGCCAGAGGCCGTAGAGGCCGATGCCATGGGTCCATTCCCAGCCGTCCCAGCCTTTGGTGTCGATGATGCGGCCGTCGTCGAGTTTGAGGAGGAATTCGCCGGTGGTGTCGTTGATGTTGACTAGGTTGTAGCTGAGGAGCTCGATTGCGGAGGTTATGTCCTGTTTTTTGAGGGCGTTGATTGTGAGGGAGGACATTTTGGGGTGGTGGTGCTCTGAGCGGATGCTTCTCTAAAGTCGTTCGCGGGTTTATATCAAAGTACGCAGGGTTAGAGCGTTGACGAAGCACTGAGGCTAATGTTGATCTGCAATTATTATCTTCAAGGTATGAAGAGAAAGACGGTGTTTAAGAACGTGAAAGGTCACACGCGTGGACAACAGAGTGGGTTGCAATGGGTCTCGAATGCAACCTGTTGAAGTGGGGACCCGGAGACCTGGAAACTTTAGGCACATGGATCGCGCATCAGGAACCCAAGCTCATCTTCGTCCTTTTCTGGGCCGACTCGCCAGGTCTTTACACCGACGTAGAGGTTAAAACCTGGGGTCCCCACGTGGAGTGGTGCTAGAATGCGGGATGAAGGAAGGAGCGGCTCTTTCCCCAACATATTTAGAAACAAAACACGATCATAAAGTCAAAACACGAGAGACGCGACCATGTTCGCACAACGTTGAGCCGACGCTCGTTGTTCTCTACACCGACATGCCAGGCGTCCAACCTGGAAAGAATTGAAGAGCCGCGGCAGAATCCTACAGGGTAGCGTAACCGACAATGGGGATGGCTGCCCAGGTGGCCTGCACGAGACGCCGTCTGCCACTAACCGTGGCAACGGAAGAATATTGGAAATCTTCCACCAGCAGCCTATTCCCAGTATCAGGACCCTCGCCCAACGGTATGTACGAGGTTATCCCGTCACATGCAGCGAGTCAACCCATCAGGGACGCGCTTCGGTGTGTATTGCGCCGATGATCTACCAAATGTGGTTGGGAGCCTAGAAGATTGCACCTCCAGACCTGTTGATCCTTTGACAGGGCGACTCCGCACTCCGCATTCTGAGTGGGCAACATGCCTGCGGAACGATGAATGCAAGGAAACACGCACCCGACACGCAGGACTGGCGCCAATTTGCCTGCCGTGATCCAACGTTAAACTCGGCTGGGATTGCTCCAGAGTCAGCGAGCACGGGCTAAACGTTGGGTTGCAGGGAACTCGCTCAGGAAATGCGGAGTATACTGAACTGTATGGGGTAAGCTCTCCGGGGTATTGGGGCACGGGGAGCACTGGGGTCCAATCTACACAGATAGAAATATGTACTGCACGACTCCACTTTCTGTCATCTCATTTGAGTTCGGAGGTTCTCTTTGCTACCTCCTCAGTCACAGTCTTCCTCCTGTCAAGCGTCAAAGAGAACAGCCAGGATGACAAACCGAGCCAGCCATGACGGCGTGAACAACGCGCCAGAGGTCACATACCCTGCTGATAAGAAAGAGATTGGCCAGGTCGAGCGTGTTTTGTCGGCAGAAGACGAGAAGGTCGACCACATCAACTACGACCGTATCGACGCCGAAGTCGCCAAATATGCAGATGCAACCGCGGAAAGAGTGCACATCTCTGAAGAGGAGAACAAGCGGTTGAAGAGTCTCATTGACAGACGCGTTCTGCCGATCATGATTGTCACATACTTCTTGCAGGCTCTGGACAAAGGCACCATGTCTTTCTCGTCGATCATGGGTATCAGAAACGATATTCCGATTTTAAAGCAGAACCACTATGTGAGTAAACCCGCATTGATCTTCCACAAGACACCTTTTCTAACAAATTACAGTTCGCCTGGCTCACCACCTGTATCTACATTGCCATTCTGTGTGTCGAGTACCCTATTAATTGGACCATCCAACGCGTACCTGTCGGCAAATTCCTCGGCATCAACATCTTACTCTGGTCAACGACTCTGTGCTGTCACGCTCTGTGCTTCAGTTTCCCCGCGCTTGTTACGGTCAGGACACTACTCGGTATCTTCGAAGCAGTGTGTCAACCTGCCTTTCTGATCATGAGCTCCATCTGGTACAAGCGTGACGAGCAGGCAGCTGTTATCAACTACTGGTACATGATGAACGGTGCGCAGCAAATCGTCGGTGGTCTTCTGGCCTACGGCTTCTCGCAAATTCACCACCCTAGCTTCAGGGACGGAACCGGAAAGCTCATTGGAGGCACTGCAAAGATTAGATCGTGGCAGGCTATTTTCATCACCTATGGCATGGCTTCGTTCTTGTGGGGCATCTTTGTGCTCATCCGTCTTCCTGGTAAGTCTGAGCAAAAACGCAATCAATAACCTCCAGCTAACATCGCATCAGACTCTCCTATGCGCGCCAAGTGCTTTACCGAGGAAGACAAGAAGCTCATGGTCGAGCGAGTCCGATCCAACCAGACTGGTCTCCAGAACAAGAAGTTCCGCGCGTACCAGCTCAAGGAGGCTCTACTTGATCCCCAGACGTACTGCTACATGCTCATCCAGATCTGCACAACTCTCCCAACTTCCGGCCTCGGTGCATTCTACAATATCATCATCAACGGCTTGAAGTTTACGATTCTCCAGACCCAGCTTCTCGCCATGGTCCTCGGTGTAGTCATCATCTTCACACTGACGGGCTCGGCATGGCTATGCAAGAAGACCGGACAGAACCTGTTGACAATGGCCATTTTCGTGATCCCATCTTTCATTGGCACGATTGTTATCATGACTGTCGAAAACAAGAACAACTCAACCAAAGCGGGTCTTCTCATCAGCTACTGGATTGTTTTCACTTTCTGGGCCGCACAGGGTCTCGGCATGTCCATGTTGACGCGCAATGTCGGAGGCCAGACCAAGAAGTCAGTCTGCATCACCATGAACTTCCTCGCATGGTGCGGTGGTAACGCCGCTGGTCCTCAAGTCTTCTTCGATGGCGACGCACCGCGCTACCGCAAGGCTTTGTCCATCCATCTCGGCTGCTACTCCCTGCTTGTGTGTACCATTGCCTTCCTCCGCTGGAACTTGACCATCCGCAACAAGAAGAAGGACCAGCAGTTTGGCAAGGAGATCAACAGCACTCACGGCTTTGACGACTTGACTGACAAGGAGAACCCCAACTTCCGCTACGTGTACTAGGGTGGGAGAGTGGCGTAGTGTATGTATATATCGGCTTCGGCAATTGGATGAATATGATACTATGCGATCATGAGAAGCTGCGCACGGATCTTCTGGAATATGGTGATGTTAGCTCGAGTCCCAAACTTGGTTCAACAGCTGCTCGGAGATGGTCCGCGTTCACTAACCTCGCACTACGATCGACAGGCCGATGCTGAAGGCGCCTCATGTAATCATTGAGCGCGCATGATTGCTACAACAATTTACATTCATGAGTCGCGTCGAGTTCAAATCACGATTGAGATGGCATGACCTTGCTGACACTGCTGCCTGTACGATCTCAAGGCGCTGGCGGGATCATCTCCAAAAGGAAAGAAGTGCGGGAGAGCTGCATCAAGTGGAGCCCTTCCGGCCATGCCCTACCCTAATGTCCAAGACATCCCTGCTTGGAGCGAGTAGAACAAGATTGTAGTTGCGCGACTCTAAACACGAACCGTGCAAGTTTTGCAATTATCAATTTATTCGTGGTTTCCCCTTGCGGAGCGCACGCTGGTGACGTCACAGGTCGCGATTGGATTCCGCGCTTGCCCCCGAGTTGCGCGTCAAATGCTACTGGAGCTGCCACAATGCTCACTCAGCGCCACCTAGTCTTTTCCAGGAGCACACGGATATTCGACGTTGCTTCTGTGAAAACCATGTGCACATGACGGCTTCTTCCTCAGCATTGCCGGCACGATGAGCAGCTACTTCCATTCGATTGCGTACTTCTTCCGCCTGCCCTTTCACATACAATGGTCAGTTTGCTCGTGGTACTAAGACAGTGGAACATTGCTAACTCTTGTAGGAGAACGTTCCTTGTGAGTCACTCCTTCGGGCGCATCACATGTGCGGCATGAGCTGACTTTGGAATTTCCACGTACAGGTCCAGATACCGCGCTTCGTACCTCTGTCCATACTACACATAACTTCGCCAAAGGGACCGCATCCATTCCTCATATCCCTCCCGAGTCGCAAGGACAGCGTCATCACCCTATATGTCTTCGTGCCACCGACACCGGTCGATCTGGAAGGGAACAGCGATGCGGAAAGATTACGCAATAGGACAGGCGACTGGCAGGTCCCTGTGGTCCTGGACTGCCATGGAGGAGGTTTCATCATGGGCGTCAGTAGTTGACATAAACACTGTATGGATCAAGAGCTGACATCGCAATAGTCTCCACTCGAGCAGGCACCGTATGCTTCAATGATGGCGAGAGAGCTTGGAGCCGTGGTCATCAGTGTCTCATATCGCATTGGGCCATTCCACCAATTCCCAGCCGCCATACACGATGTCGAGGACGTACTATCAGCAATTTTGGATACGAGCGGCATGTCAAAAGGTGGAAACGTCCTCAGAACCGAGCTGCAGCGGTATTACAGCATGACACGCGAAATGCTGCTTGAGGGCAAGAACAAGAAGCATGCGCCGCCGCATCTCGAGAATGTCACCACTATCACCCTTGATCCTACACGTCTGGCGATAAGCGGCTTCTCCGCTGGTGGAAACATTGCGCTGAACATGGCCATCTCTGTACCACCATGTCCAGAGCTGATGTCTTCGCCCACACTCGCGCCCTCTGGTCCTACCCAATCCTCGCAGCAACGCCCGTCCCCAGCGAATACCATGTCTCCTTTGATGCCCCCAAGGCGAGCAGCGACTGTACTCGACGACGTGAACGAGCCTTGGTCATCACTTCTACCGCCGCCCCACGCGCAACCAAGAATGCTTCCCCTACTCCTGTTCTACCCTTCGCTAGACGCAAGACTACTACCGCATGAGCGACCAATGAAAGAGATGCCAAATGCACTCAGAGGCGATGACAAGAAGACAGAGAAGCCAAGAACGCCCGGTCTCTTTTCCATCATGGGACCTACATATCTACCGAGGAAGCTTCGTCCCCACCCTAGAGCGAGTCCTGGCTTGACAAGTCCGGACAATGTGCAGAAGAACGCGGCTATCCTGCTTGTTCTGCCTGAGAAAGACACCTTGGCGGTTCAGAGCGACGTCTGGGTCGACAAGATGAACTCGGGCGGCTGGAACGGCTTCGTTCGATTCGGCGACGGTCGCGAAGGGGACTGGGACGGTCATACTGGAGGCTCTGCAGGCTCCTCCGTTCCTCAAGGCAAAGATAACGGAGGACTTGAAGTCTGGCACGCGCCCGGATGCCGACACGGCTGGACGCAGTTTCCAGATACTTTTGTGCCCAAGCATGAGCGCAAGGAGCGCGAGCTCGTATTCGCCAGGACGCTGGACTTTGTCAAGGAGAATTGGAACAAGAAACTGGACGTCTCGCGGGAGAAGCAGGGTAATATGGATCCAGTGGGTCGTCCCCTGAGGATGCCGAGTGAATTCAGCGGACTTCCGGAGTAAAGCAGGTATCATAGCAGGGCGCTTTGATACAACAATGCTGGACGTGATATCTGTTAGACAAGCTACAAACATGCTTCCAGCCATCAATAGCTGCTTTCAATATATCGATACCCACCTTCGCAACTATGATTCTCACCTTGGCATACGAGATCAGCAATTCTGTTTGTGCCTCCTTTCTGAAGCGTCTAAAATGCCAGCGACTTCACCGTGTCACTATTAATCACCAATGATAGATCTAGACCGCCGCACAAACGTTTGTGTGTAACTTGCCGCTTCCGACATAAGGAGCACTATCGATGGTTCCTTCCGCTCTCTTGGCTTGGATGCCGTCCTCCCACGCCAAGGACATCGACTCGATATGAAAGCTGTGGTACAATTAATGTTGATGCATGAGTGCACAGCTGCGTTCAACTCTGCAGTTTATGATCTACTGGGTGAGCTGGCCTACTGTACTTGAATGTTGACAAGGGCAGATCAAAAGGGTTTCTTATCTTCTTTTCACTGTCTCCGCGTGTACCTACCTTCAAGCACAATGATGTCAAGCATCCACCCCTACATCTGCGCTGTAAAAACCCTCTACGCGGCATCTTACGCACGCAGCCTGTGTCAAGTGGCTGTGCACACAGCGCCAAGGTCTCCGCGCTCCACCAGCCTAAACACGTCTCCGGGCAGGAGTGGCTTCAATCAACGGAAGAAGCGGGACTATAGTACCTTCAACATCTCCATAGTGCGCGGCAGTACGCGCGGATGATCGGCGGTCCGCGCGACAGTGCGTGTAGTGCCCAGAGGCTTGGTATAGGCTTGGCTGTGCGATGCTTGGCTGTTAGTTCGAGGAGGGCAAGATTACGGAAAGTGGTGTTACAGCGTGTAGTGATGGTGAGGTGGTAGGTTGACGGATGTGCATAGAGTGGGGATGCTTGGCTGTGTCGTGGATCATGGCGAGGGATTGGTGAATTCGCAGGCGTGACCTAGGAGACGGACCGAAGAGCACAAGAAGGTGTCGGAAAGCGCATGTAACTGGTGCATCAATTTGGGGGTTCAGTGTATGCGGTACGTCGAGATCATCGCACTGTAACGGAGTCCGGTACGATGATCGACGATACGGTCCAGGTCTGACGGCTGCATTCGTGCGAGTTGCGATTCTTGATGTCCGCAAGAAGTCAAAGCATAGACATTGGTCTGCCGGAAATGGAAGGCATGGTCGCACAGATGGTGAGGTGAAGCGTTTAGCAGCCGGGGCCAAGTGAAACAAAGTTTCAATGCGTTTGTTCTGAAACTTGGGGGTGATGTATTGACCAGCGAGGACGTGGGAGTGCCCGAATGTGTTCTCTGCAAGAGTTGTCCAGCGGTTCCGCTTCGTCGCAACGTGAAGCGCGACGTCATTGTGGTCTGTCTGGAGATGACTCGGGCCTACCAGATCTCTGTAAACATGCTACGCAGCCATCGCGCGGACTCCGAATAACGCTCCGTCGGATAAGTGCCTCCCACGCTATGTAGCGCAGAGTAATGCAATCGACACATTGCGCAACGCCTAGAAGCCATAGAATCAAGCATGTATGGCGCGCGAGCTGTCATGAGCACAAAAAGCTTCCCCGCATCACAACCATTGGCAAGTCGCGGACGAGCCGGCTGAGGCGCTTGATGTCGATATGCGATCGTCAAGGGTGCTCGCAGCGAAGCCGGCTGGGCGCTGTACGCAGGACGCCTTCGAATAGCATCGAACATGGCGTGCAGCGTGCAGTCAGATGACAGAAGCGGCACGGCAGCGGCTTCGAGAATCTAGTTGTAAGGGCTGCGGTGAGAAAGCGGTGTGGCATCTGGCGATGTGGTCCATCAGACACAGTAACCTTAGAATCTTGGAAGAAAACCACCGAAGTATGGGGACACAGATGAGCTAAGGCTATCCAGTTCCGGGCTCAGGAAAAGCAAGCAAGGGACCTGATGCATGAGTATGCAGCCGGTGCGCGAGCATCGGGCAGACGGTCCAAACTGGCTATGCGGTTGTGGGATGCAGCGGTCGAAGGGGGACTGCGATGAATAGAGCTGTTTGGATACCATGACTCTTTCGGGCCAACGTTGATTGGCCGAGACAGATGCGTAAGCAGTATCGGCCAGCTTTCTTGGTAAGTGACCAAGTAATAATCGGCATGTCCCGAACTGGTAACTAACAGCTTTAGCGACGAGAGACTCGGCCAAGTCCCTGATGGACGGCTCGTGGGGTGATGCACAGTAATAAACCAGTTTTGGTGTCTTCTGCTCGTGTGCGGAGGTGCGCTTCGCCCTGGGTCGCCGACAAAGGGCCAGTCCAGAATGCTCAGCGCACAACAAAGGGCAATTGCACTGGCTGACAATGAAGTTTGAGCCTGTCAGCGTGCTGTGAGAAGGGGTGTGTCACGCTCAGACGCAGGTGAAAGCCTAATTCTGGACGCCGCATTTCCCTCTGTCGCGCACCGCGGCACAGCGTGAGTTGCAGGCGCGAGCTGCACTTCGATGTCTGCACGGCCCACACGCGGCATTTGGGTGTGTTTCGATTGGATTGAATCGTGGGGTACGAATAAGAGAGCCCTAGCGGATACCCACTGTTTGCTAGCACCCGGCACCTCTGAATTTCATTTCGCCCTCTTCATCTCGCCCTCGTCGCTCGACAGTCGCGTCGTTGCCAACTGTCACAGCGGTTGCTGCGGACGCCAGATCTCTCTGCGCTTCTTCTGCTTCCAGACGCCAAGTCGCCAATCTTACTAAGTTCAGCGGCAATCAGCTCTGCCTCCGTCCCACAGCCATCCTGCCCTGTTGCCACACGTCGCTGAGCAACGCATCCATCTTCACCAGGTATCCCAGCTCTGACACGTTTGTCAGTTTCCGCTTAACACCAAATCCGGTCCGACCTTTACGCTTCATCATGTTCATTTCCATATTATAACCTTACGCTCCTTGGGGCCGTGCACCCTCACCATCTTCAGAGTATCCATACCACACCATCTAGTAACAGCCTGCCACTTTTTCCGGTCCCATCTTCAGCTTACACACGAAATTCCCCGCTCGATTGCAACCTGATCACCAATTCGCCTTGCGACTTTGCTTGCGCCGAAACTCCTAGGGGAGCCACACCGCAAACACCACCAGGACCACGATCCGTTGCCTCCATAGTGGGGTCAACACTTCTTTATCTTCGTACCACGTTATATCACGCGATTGCGTGCAGGATCCAGTTCCACAGCAAATATGCCGAACGAGCACATAAGACAAGGCGCAATGGACGTTGGGAGCGCGCGAAACGTACCAAACACTGCACCGCCAGCGGTAACTTCAGAAGAAGAAATCGTGGCCGACGTCGACGAGCCGCCTGAACCCGGACGCACACCGCGGCCTGCAACCTTGAAACTACACTACTCTTCCTCCACCTCCTTCACCAAATCAAAACCACGATGCGATCGACAGCAGTCTCTTTTGACGACTGCTCTCCAAGCTAGTTCGACCGCGAGCTCGCCAGTCGAAGAACAATCCGAGGATAGTCCTGTTCGTGGCATGTCGACTGTCTCTACATGGAGCTGCACCAGCGCGACAACAGCAGAGTTGACGAGCGACGGAGGCTTCACCAGTCCAGTATCACGCACCAGTACACCAAGCCCACCTCCGCCATCAGCGACCTTTCGAGGCATGATTCCCTTATCCAACAAGAAGCCTCTAGAGCTACCTATTTCTGTCGTATCGCACGAAGATGATGCCCTCAGCCCGCTACCGAAGTCGACTTCCCTTCCTATGGGCGAGCAGAACGTTGAAGCGGTCCTAGGTAGGAAGCGTTGCATCATGTTCGCATGTGGCAAGAAGGAAGAGAAGAAGCCTGTCGCTGAGGTACCAAAGCCACAGCCTGCACCTCAAGCGCAAGAACCTCCGAAGCGTGTATCCACCATCAAGTTTGCCTGTCCCTCCAAGGTCTCCACCGATGCACCATCTCAGGCCCCCAAGCCCCGCGCGCGCATGGTCAGCCCAGCCCCAGTAGCACGCCGCATTCCACAATCACCAAAGCCCAAGGCTCACCGCGACTCTGACTCGACGGTCCGTAACAACTCACCCGCTAGCGTCCGAAAGACTCCTGTTTCAAACCACACCCGTCGTCTAAGCCTCAACTCCGATCTCGCTCGTTGTGAGGCATACCGCTTCCATGAGTTCGCTAGCTCCGAGGAGGAAGTCGATGAATGGACCCAGGTTTCGACTTGCCATCGCAACCGACTTACCGTCTCAGATACGCTCAAGATTGAGAACGGCCTCCGTCAACTCGGAGAGGAGGTAGAGGAGGAGGCCCTAGAGGAAGACGACGACGATGAGGATGACGTCGACGAGGTTGACGAAGACGACGATCTGCTTGCCGATGGCGACGATGATAGCGACAACTTGAGTGACGCCACGGATGAGGGCTTCCAGACCGATGATGAAAACGGCTTCGCTGTCTCGGATGATGAGAGCGACGCTGGTTCAGACTACAACTGGTGGGCCCCAGGAGCATCCACAGCCGCTACATCAGTCGAGCATCTCGAACAGTTGCGGCTGAAGACCACCCGCAGTGCTTCTGAATCGTCGGTCGGATCTCTGGAAAGTCGCAAGGGCTTCGAGTTCCCCACCAAGACGCATCCACGCCGTAAGAAGTCAAAGCCGGTCAATATTCGTGTGCCAAGCCCAGAGCTGCCTGACAGTACTGATTTCGTCTGCGGGACGCTCGACGAAGATAGGCCTTTGGAACAGGCCTACATGTCGACTTTGGAACGCCGACGTGCTGCGAAGCATAAGCCGACACCTCAAGACATCGATCCGACCTTCCCAGCTTCTGATCCTGACCTCCCTGACGACGAAGAGGACGAGGTTTCTGAAGTTGAAAACCTTGTCTCGGAAAGCGACAACCACTTCATGATGCATGGCCGGATGGACCACATTGATGGCGATCCAAGGGGCCGTCGCAAGGAGGGTCCAAAGAAGCGCTCTCCTGCACAATCGCCAAAGCGGCTGCGATCGCCACCGCCTGCGAAACGCACCATGCATCGCTCTCCGCCGCCTCGAAAGCTGTTTGGCGCATCACCCAAACGTCTACATTCTCCTCCCCCACCTCTGCGTCTACGATCACCTCCGCCAACTCGACGTGGATCCACCAATCCTGTCGCTATGCGGCAACGCGGCGAGATGGCACTTCGTTTTGCTGGCCTAGCCGAGCGTCCTGCGCTGACCATGTCTGCTTCGGTGCCTCGCACACCACTTGCTCCAGGGCCTAATCCCCTCGAATACAACGATGAGGAGGTTGGCTCAAACGACATGCCTGTTCGTCGCGCCATCGACATCCAAATCGGCCTGGAGAAAAAGAGGCAGCGCCGTAAGGAGCAGTTGTACAGAAAGCAGCACCGTAAAGCTACCAAAGAAAAGCGTCCTGCTCCCGGTCGAGGTGCGGAGCGTATGCGAGAGATGGGCCTGGCGGCTCATGCTCACAAGGGCAAGACCACTGCCTTCAACCCCTGGCAAATGCCTACGTCGCCCGACCAGGAAAACATGCACGTTCTTTCCGTGTAGCGTGTTGAATCAGCGCCGCTGACCTGTCAGCACTTTACATCTTTGCATTGCAAAGCTTGTTGGTCGCTGGTACTCACGTTGCGTTGGGTGCACCCTTAGCAGCCACCCAATGCTTGTTTCATTGCACATGTTCCTAGCGATTACATATCTCTTTTCTTTCTCAAGGCTGATTGTGTACATATCATAACCACACATTTCACACATTATGGTCAACCCATGATGTGACTTTTCCTCTGTTCGGACCTTTTTTTTCTTTCCTTTGTTCTGGATCTTACTGCATAGCATTGGCCTCCCTTCGTTTAGGTTGTAGGCCCACGGGGAGTTAGTTGAACCATATCTACATAGCGAATATCTTGATGAATACATGGCATTGAAACCGCCTGTGCCAATTTTGCAAGCATGCCGCGGCAAGCGAAGCCAAGACTGGGGATCAAGCTCGAGCTCGCAGCAGACTTTGACTTGAAGGAAAGTAAGGCGCCCACGCCGATCGCCAACGGGAAAAGCTTGGTAGTGACAGATCGGCCGCCAATAGCTGGCTAGGATTTTACAAGATCCTCTGACGTCGCCACTAGCGGTAAGTCTTGAGGCTCAACTCTTGTGCACAGACATGGCGAGGCGCCTGAAACGTGGAAACGCGTGGTTGTGAAACGAGAATGGCGGCATTGTGGGCGCTCCATACTTCTGATTCTGTCATGGTCGTAGTCGGCGCATGCGTTGAGATTCTCGGTGCAAATATTGTGGCGGCAGAAACGGTAGGGTAGTATTCATGACGAGCCATGATCGCTATGATGCGACAGGGCACCTTCCCGAATGAAGAGCCATGGGCCCAGAGGCCGCGCGTGTTTGACAATTGGCATGGCGGGCGCAATGCTCGCGGCAACAGTGTACTCAGGTCCGCGATAGTGTGGACTGGACGTGCAGTGGCATATGGACCAGAGTACGACGCCTCGACACACATAAGGCGCACTCATGGCAAAGTCGTTCTGCCGCAGTACATATGCGATGAGGTTGCACTGGCTATGTAATTGTTGATGGCAGAAGTTCGCACCCATGTTAGCGCGCCGGCCTATCGCACCGTTCGACCTCATCATGGGTCCAGTCTCCGCTCCTTTTTTCCCACCACCACCGCCAACCACGCGTTCCGCAGCTTCTAGCGTCAAGGCCGACATGGGGCACACTTGCATTTCATAATCATGCAAAGAAGTTGAAGACTTGTCTGCCATTCTTACAATTGCTTGGTCGCCCACCCGCCGCTACCTCCCACTGCCACTCCTCCGCCTCCCCTCAGGCCCGTCTTGGCCCCGACAACCAACCGCCGCTGCACATCGCCGCCCTCGCTATACTTGGGAACAGACTGTCCTTTTAGGCCCTTTTAGGCGCACAAAACTCACTGCGCCATCGGCATCCATGTCGCCGCCGTCCTTTGCCATCCACGCTTGAATACAGAGAGACGCGCCCAACGACCTCGAGTCGCGCGTGTCCCATCCTCCCGCCACGGTGCCTCGGCCTACTGCGCGCCGGGATACGCTTTCGGACATGCTGATGAAGAAGATGTGGGTTGTCGAAGAGCGCAAGGACAAGACGGTTTACCGCCGCCGCTGCCCTGGTGCTTCAGACATCCTGACCTTCTTCTTTGTGTCGACATGCGCCCTGCTATTTCTCCTAATATGCTCCATACTCTATGGCACCCGGACGGAGAACCCGCATCTCCCTGGCATGGTCCAAGGGGTTCTACCGGCTGGCAGGTGTCTCTGCCAGTTCAGCTCCAATTTCCAGTGCGATACATGTTTGGACTGCGCATCAAACCAGGCGCTTCTGGCCGAAAACGCCACCGACGCCGATCCTTGGACTTTCACCTATAAGAGAGACAGAAACAACTATGGTCTGGATGAGGAGCAGTGTCAGAGTGCATTCCCTGGGCAGTATGAGGACATTGAGCGCGCCGTCAAGCTGCGCGACCGATGGGGCAAGGTCACGGAGGAGGACCTCTCAAGTTTTGACCTTACCAAGGGCATGGTTCGCGGCATGATCTATGATCGAGAGGTACGTTGCGCCGGATATTTGTGGTGAAGTGCTCGAGCTGAACGGAAGAACAGCTGTACATCCTTGAGACATACCTCGTCGACAACGTCAACCGACAGAAAGCTATCGCATCCCTCAGCGCCATGTACCGATCTGTCCGCTCCGCGCCCGCGACCACAGAAATCCCGAATATCGAGTTCGTCTTCTCCGTTGAAGATCTGCCCGCGCAGCCAACCAAGCCAATGTGGTCGCTCGCTCGTCGTGTACAGGACCATCATCTCTGGCTGATACCCGACTTTGGATTCTGGAGCTGGGACATGCCCTCGCTCGGCACGCTCGATGAGGTGGCGATTGAAGCAGTCGAGCGCGAGAGTGTGGAGCCATGGGATCAGAAACAGGAGAAGCTTGTCTGGCGCGGCAAGATCACATTTGCGCCGAAACTGCGGAGAGCATTGCTCGACGCCGCAAAGGGCAAGCCGTGGAGCGACGTTGGGCAGCTCAAGTGGACGGACCCCAACTTTAAGGAACAATTCCTTGGCCCGGTAGATCAGTGCAACTACATGTTCATTGCACATGCTGAGGGTATGACTGACGACACGGAGCTTCCGCCTTCAAGGCCTCAGAAGCAAGCGACCATGATCAAAACTGACGATCCTGCAGGCCGCTCCTACTCCGGCTCTCTCAAGTACCGCCAACTCTGCCGCTCCGTTATCGTCTCACACAAGCTCCAGTGGATACAGCACTACCACTACCTCTTTCGCAACAACGGCTCAAATCAGAACTTCGTCGAGGTCGAGCGCGACTTCTCCGACCTGGTGCCCGCGATGGAGGATCTACTCGATCACCCCGAGAAGGCGAAACGCATAGCAGACAACAGCGTCGCTGTATTTAGGGAACGCTACCTCACGCAAGCGGCCGAGTCGTGTTACTGGAGACATCTCATTAAGAGGTGGAAAGACGTCCTAGGCTTCGAGCCAATGCTGTACAAAGCTGGGGGTTCGGAAAGCAGCAAAGACGGCAAGAGGGTCAAGAAAGACCAAAAGAGGGGGGTACGATACGAAACGTTCATGTGAGTGCACAGATTCTATTTCTCAGAGGATGTAAAGGGGGGCAACGACTGACACAAACACAGATTATACGAGCCAAAGGTGCAGTACGAATGGCCCAAATCAGCAGGCTGAACCACTATATCCTCGAAAGGGCCCCCATCCCCGTCAACGGCCATACACACATGAAGCCGCGCTTTGAACATTTTTTTTTCGATACAATGACCACATACACATGCATCTCTCGGGGCATAATTGGATAAATTCTGTCTATTGCAACAAAGGCCGTGTTTTTGACGGACGCATCTGGGGGAAAGGATAACTTGAAAGCGTTTATACCCAAAGACCATGTAGCGTGTCTTTTTAGTCTTCTCTGTTTCGTTTCTTGCATATTCGTCCGGATTGCGATGGCTGGCTACTTCTTTGCACATGGTGTTACAGCTCTTCTTCTTCCTCTTCTTCAGAGGATATGTGCGATACAAAGGTCTTGTTTTTACACATCAAGGGTGGCGTCTTTACGAGTCGATTTCTTGCACTTTTGTTGATGCTGGCATGTTACGTGTGTGTGTATATATAGACAGAAACCTTTTTAGCATAATAGAGCGTGTGGGCTCGATGGGGCGGATCTTGGGTCTGCTGCAGTAGGAAATGAAGAAATTACAAACATAAATTGAGCAAGTGTGTCTGGTCTAGGTGCTTACTGCGGTTAATAGTCCGTATGATGTATTCTTGCCTAGTGATGCTTTTGGGACCATGTGTGATGAGGTGCTACATCGACAAGAATTGATACAATGATGATTTGACATGATTTGACATTATGGGAATATGAATATGTATCTACACTAAGAGAAAGAGTTTGAGGGTATCGTAAAGGGACTTTTTTTTTAGTCCACTAGGCTTTTCCAAATCCATGCTGAGCATAAACTTCACCACAGAAAAATGTAATTTCGATGGTCATTGGCGCAGCGCTGACGTCCTCGACCATCGGACCCAGCTCTCGCCATCCGGAAAGCCGGGAGCCGATCAAAACATAGAAAAGCGGCTGTATGTCCAGGCACGTGGACGGGCTAGGTGTGTGGTGGTGCCAATGTTCGGCGTGTTTGCTTTTCATGCTCTTTCAATTGCGTCATTCAGCCACCAATACAAGTGCTTGCGCCCGTGAAGATCAGGTCGTGACATCTAACGCCGCAGACTATGATGGCGGCTGGATGGTGATGGTGGCGGTAAGCTCGTGGATGAGTCCATTGGTGAAGCGTCGTTGAAGCCGGGCCAGTCTGACAAAGTGTGAGGGGCTTGCAGAAGCGGCCGATCTGCTGTTGTCATAGCAGCTGATCCTCACGACAGGAGTGTGGACGGAGCATCCCTGCTTGACTCTTCTTGGGTCGTCTCGTACTTGGCCATGAGAGTCTTCTCCGAACCATCTAGTTTGATGGCACCTTGTGAGAAGAATCTATGAATAATGTGAGCCATGGTGTGTGATGTCGTTGAGAAGAAATACACACCTTGACCAAACATACTCGGCAAGCAAATAGACAGCGACCAAAGCCATCAGCGCTGCCACGACGTAGCTGACGAAGTGACACTCAGGTTCCATGCCCCTATGACTGCCTAAATGCTTGACCTCTTCGTCGAATCCACAAACAATCTTATTCCTTCTTTGCATCAAATCCTCCTCCTGAACCGGCATGACTTCCGCTTCACTGATGGCGTCCAATATGCTGTCCGGTAGTGGCCGACGGATAGACAGGATGTTGGAGATGGTGTGCTGACTGGCAAACTGGATCTCAAGCTCGTAGTCCTCTGCCAGGGAATTCGCAGTATGCCAGTCCATTCTTTGCGACTCCATGTACGTGCAAGGTGTAGGTTTGGCATCCGTCGAGAAGGAAAGGCAGCGACATTGGATATCCTCGAGGCGATGATCCATTGGAGCGGCTAGTGTAGTCGAAGCACCGAGAAGTGCAAGAAGGATGTTTGAAGGCTGCATGGCGAGCGAGTTGTGAGAATGCGCAACGTTTTTTGGATGTTCGTATGGTGAAGGTGGGATGGACCGAGAGACAGAGAGGTGGAGAGCAGAAAACGGAAGGGCTGAATGTTGCGATATAACAATTCGGGATTCTGCAAACAGTATTAAGTCTTGATGCGCCTGGGCAAGGGTAGGCCTAGACCATGAATTAGCGTGACGGTTACCTCGTATAGTGTCTGGGGGACTGACATGCACGATGTAAGCACTGGTTCTCCAATGGGAAAGATGCCGTGGTTCCACAAACCCGAAGGAAGTGGCCTCCGAAATATAGCAGCTGGAAGAGGTGATCGGCTTCAACGCGGGGTGGCTGAAGTGCTCAAATCTGCCTTGACGGGCAATTGCTTCGGTGAATGATTTACCACAGGGAAAGGCACAGCCACTGTATACGACTGACGACTGGCGCCGAATGACTGGAAACGGACCGTTTCAGTATACGCCCAAATCGCGCTCGGTTAGGCCCGTGGCCCATCGCGAGTCCCAGATGTGATTGGCTGAATGTACGCTCTGGCAGGGCCACCAACACCATCCAGAAAAGCTTGATGCACGGTCTAGGTGAGCTATTTGCATCCAACTTCTGCACGTTGTTTAAGCATACGACGAGATTCGCCACGTGCATCTGCTATGGCTTGCGCCTGAAAAGCCACGATACTGGACGGGCAGGTCGCTCCAAACCCAAGGCTTGATGATGCTTGTGGGTGTTTGCCAAAGCCCTGTTTCGCATGCGGGAGATGCGCAATTTGCCCATGCTGGGATGCGTATGCTAACACAAATGTGTAAACTCTGAGAATGGCTGCGCATACGCGCTGTCGGTCCTTTTGTTGTTTGATTGACAAGAATTTGAACTTGGTAAGACGTGTGTCGAGCGGCGCAGGTGGCAGGTTCCAACATACCCGGCACGGTCTTTCGGTGATTGAACTGTCCACCCCCAGGTTACATATATATCTTGTCAAGATCCATGTGTGAGAGCTGCGAGACGCGCAATCGACTTCCGTCCCATCCGAAATGGCTACGCAAGATGTCGCACTGTTGGTTGGGACAGCAAAAGATCATCAAATTGCAAACGTTGGCCGCAGACGGCGTCACCCAACCGTTGAAGGACCTTGAAGGAACGCTTGCGGAGAACTTCTGCTCCACAACCAACACCGACATGCTCTTAAGGCCTCCCTAGGCGAACGTTAGGCCAACCGCAAATCCTGCTTTTCATCGCACAGGATTCCTCTTCGTCATTCAGCAGAAAATCTGTGCTTCTAAAAGTAGGACGGTTTCTATTTCATCCGAATGAATTTCGGGTCACGTGTCTACCTAGCGATGGTCGGGTGCACATTCCTGTTTAGGATGAAAGATACATAACGGCCGTATGGGCCGTCCCGACGCGAATTAGATTGTGATTGTCACAAGAAGACTATGCTCACCTCCTCTCGGTGCGAGTCCGTGCATCCACTCTTTATTGTCAGAGATTAGGCCTCAGAACGCACCAAGGCCCTCTTCCTACAGACTGTGCCTCTCGTCACAGTAGCGTAGGTATATATGGCAGGATTTTGCAGGCAAAGTAAGCCTGGCTTTATTCTCTTACATCTGACAAATTGGCCCTGAGACAATTAACTTTGTTCCACCACCATGCAAACCTTATGGTTGGGCTTCGTCGACAATATTAGCATGACGCGCCACTGGTGCCGTTTGAGTTCTTGACGAGATGTTACACGGGTTGCAAGATGATGGAGAATATACGGAATGTGATCAAGGGCTTGCATCCGATGTTCGAGATGTTGAACTTTTTAGAGTCGCTAGGACTTGACTTTAGTATACGCTGCACATCTTCGATATGATAATACTCGCATGCTACGTTTTGAGAACTGGAAATATACTGTCATCCCATCAAAAGCGATGGTGGAGGTATGTCTGTGGACATAATAAATGATCCAGGTTTATGATGCTACTTCTTATCCACCAAAGGCTATGGGCAACGCTTGCAAGCATACTGCGGAATCGTGTCACTTCAGGACGCTTGGAAGTATTTCAACTATGAGGTCTAGGAACAGTAGAAGGAGCAGTAAGGATACCAACCATAAGAATTGCTACCATCCACTCCATCCACTCGTGGAATAACTTCATACTGAAGTATTAACAGCACCATACCATCCCCATCCTCACTCCCTGAACCCAACCCCAACATGAATATCCCACCTATAATACGCCCCACTATCCATATCTCTTACGGCCGCCCTCTTCCTCTCCTCCACCTCCTGCGCACTCCAATACCCGTCCCCATCCACCTTGCTCAAATTCCCCAACCCACCAAACACCGCCCCAATCCCAATCTCCGTGAAATCGCGCCTCTGCTCAGATAACCGATCCGTACTAATCACATCGACCTCGACATCCCTAAGTCCGGCGCTGCGAAACAACTCGTCGAAATCTGGAAACGAAAAGCCAAAGCGCTTCTTGAGCGTGCTGTTGAGTTGGTTCTGACCCGCTGTGAGCGCATGGCCCGCCGACGACGTTCCACTTGCGCCGCGAAAACCGCGCTTGATCAGAAAGTTACCGTCCGTCCAGGTGATGCAGCCGCCGGGCTTGAGCAGCGTGATGATGTTGGTAAGAGTGTCGAGCCAGATTTGAAAGGGGCCCATGGACACGGTAATCAGGCGCACGTTCACGAGGTCGTATGTGCCTTGGAGGTCTGACGGAATGGGCTTTTTGAAGTCGAGGAAGTGGAGAGAGACGTTGGATGGGAGCGATTCGGCTGGGAGGTATTGCTCCGAGGAAATGTCGTAGCCGTGGAAGGTGTAGGTTGATGGTAGGACGGAGGCGATGTCTTGAAGCCAGACGCCAGTGCCGGTTGCAACGTCAGCGATTCGAGCATTTTGCGGGAGTTTTGGGGCGATTGATGGGTGGAGTGAGTAGCCGATGGCTCTATGGTGTAATGTCAGTTGCGGATGTGAGCTTCCGACCAGTATCTGAGGCTGATTTACTTTGTCCAGATGCCGTGTTGCTTCACGAGACGTTTTTGTTCTTCAGATGCGCGGCCGAGCCAATATGGCTCATCATGATCACCATTGGCAGTGCTGCTGGTCGACATGGTGCTGCAACCGATGGTATGGACGTAAAGCTGTTAGTAGATGAACGGGTCAACTAGACGTCGAGATCTGACAACAATTGTCAATTTAGGAACAATTTATTGGTCTACCCCACATTTTCCGATGCTACTTATCCAGTTCAAGCAAGGACTCGGATGACGCTTTCCAACGGCATCACGGCCAGAACGGTCGCTAGAGCGTTGTCCGCGCCAATTGCTCGCACGCGGATGTCACCCCGGAATCTTGCGAGCACGTCTTTAACATGTCTAAGATCTTTGTATCTGTACACATACATAGTGATTGGCTTTATGCAAAACCGTGCACCAGATAACTGCAGCAAATTCACAATGCGGAGATACCCCGCACCCCAAGATGGAGAGGGCGGACGCGAAAAGTGGCATAACCTCGACTTACGAAGTTTGTTCGAGACTAGAGAGTTCAGAAAAGGCTGTTGCTAAAGAAATAGCATTGATGTAATGCATCACTCGCACACATTGGTGACACAAGATAACTGATTGTGCAGCCAGGCCATGAAATTTCAAGAGAATCCCAGCTATCTTCGCGTCTCTACAATTCAACAAAATCTAATAACGACCACGATCGCGACTCGATGGAAAATATATGCATGCCTATCCTGAGGCTCTCTCTCACACATCTAGCCAGTCCACGGAGCCGGACCGGGTGGAGTGTATGATCGCGCCTACTCCAGTGTCAGCATAATGAACGCGATTGGGGATCAACACAGCTTACATTGTAGATGTTAACCTTGATACCTGGGTCATTGGCTGAGTAGGCGCCAGGGAAGGATACAAGAGGTGAAGGAGTTCCACTGCCTCCCCCAGTTACGCTGATCTGGGCACAGGAGATGTAGAACTGGGCTCCCCCAGCGTTGCTCGCCTGGTGCAGGGCGATGTGCTCGATCCTCAAAAGGTAGTCGCCTGATGGCAAGTTCTTCGGGATATTGGCAGTAATGCTACCCTTGTCTTCTCTTTGTTAGCATTTTGTTGTGTCAACAATGATCGTTAAATACATACTGAGACTTGCCCAGCTCAATTGATTGTTCGCAACCGTAGCTGGCTCAGCGTATGTCTTGAACCACACGGTGCCAGTGCCATCCCAAGTTGCAGCTGTCTGACCAGACGGCACCTTAGCCATATAAAACTGGATCGGACCCAGATGGAAAATGTTCGGCGATGCGGTGAACGTAACGCTACCACCTGCAGCAACCGTCTGGATCTGGGGAGCGGTCTGGCCTGATCTTGTGTAGCATCGGATCTGATCCGAAGTAACGTCACTGAGCCCGGCGTTCGATTGGAAGTTCACAGTCTGTCGGACGGTCGACCATGTTCCGCTACCAGTGGAAGGGAAAGTGTCTAAAGATGTGAGTAATTTGTTTGAAGATGATTATTGCCAAGAGCACGTACAGTGACGAGGCTGCAACGCTGCTGCGTTCACTGCTTCCGCCGCAAAAGCGAAGCTGATGGCCGTGGTGAACTTCATAATGGTTGGTGAACGTCTGGAAGCTCAGTGTATTGCTCGAACGTGCAAAATTGTCGAGTCGCCATAGCTTGTTATATACAAAGCGATTCATGTCACACTCGAGTTTGATCGAAAAAGGCTTACTTGTGTCGTGATAGATTGAAGAGTTTACACGGTGGTAATTGCGCGTTCCCGATTTGGTAGTCTGATATTGCGAAACAATCTACATGCCGGGACCTGGATCACGCGGAGCCCCGCGACTCGGCAGTAGCCCACTGCCGGCCTTTGAGGCTGATCAAAATGCAGAGCTTCTCAATTGTTGGCACATGTTTGTTGTGCAAAGTTTCTAGTTTTTTGATAACTTCGCTGGCTGGCAGACGCTGAGAAGAGACAGCTTGTCACCGAATAACGAATCCAAGCTCGTGAAGGCTTCGCAGCATCTTCCTATGTCTGGTCCAGTGCATTTCCTTCCTAAAGTTCTGCTCCAAGTCCATGAGGATAACAAGGTGTGCATCGATAGACGAGACGCATATTGACTGCATCATAGGCGATGAAGTAGATGTCGTGGATATCACCGAACTTCCAGAGCGCTTCGTGAGCTTCGAGGTATAGCCATATCACGTTTGCGCTTGGGTTGAACTACAAAGCTTGTTTGTTTTGCGGCAGTAACGAATTTTGGCTATATGTCACTCGGCATCGTGGCACGCAAGGGCGTTCCAAGAAAATCTCCGCCTTCAACCAGTCCAGGACAGGTATCATGCGCGCGTGCTCCTGGCATACTTGGTGCAGTGCCCATGCGGGCTTATTCGAGCTTGTCGCCTGCGCTGTCTCTGCAGTGCTGCCCGACTTCGATACGACTGTCACGCGCAAGCGCGATCAAGTCATCTCGACGGTGTCCATGGCGTGATGAAAATGGATCATATCGTCCAGACATTCAGTCGAGTGCGTGAGCAAGCACTGTTGTACATCTGCATGTGCTGGAGCTGCGAGCGATATGGCAGAGTAGGGCGCCTCGTTGGCGGTGTCGCTAAGAGAGTTCGAGGATAGCAGTCAACTGCTTGGTCTCACGTCTTCATCTCCGTCTCCAGCTCTTTGATCTCTTTGCTGAGTCCTTGCACATCGTCCTGTGCCATCACTTGTGCGCTGACCTCTAGGTCTTGTATGACGTTCTCCAAGCCCCGTACCAGCGCCTCAATTTCTGTGCGTTGCGCGGTCACGGTCGAAAGAAGTTCTGTATTCGATGCCTGCGTCTTGGAGAGCTTGGTGTTCATCTCAGCGGCTTGTTGCTCGAGGAATGGCATGAGATGGGCAAGGTGGATCTCCGAGGGAGTCAGAGTATGTGGCCTAGAATGGTTGTAAGCACTTTCATGCCGTAGCCCTCAGTGTAGCAGTACTCACGGCACAGGCGTTTCTACAGCACCACCGTTTGCGCTGAGCTCAGCGCGCTTCTTCCTCAACTTTGCATCTTCAATGCACTGGTCCAGCAAGTTCAACAGCTTGACCACGTTCCTACGCTCCATGATGTCCTCGAAGTTGGTCTTCCAAGTGCGGTCCAGTTGATCGACAATCTGACCGCGCAAGTTGTCTAGCACCTCGGGACTGTATTGCGCAGCCGTGGGGAAACATGATGCAAAGTTCTTGTATGAGCATTTGTCCAGTGTCGCTTTGGAGGCTTGGTTGAAGACATTGATGAGACCTTGCGCGCGTGGGCCTGGCGCATCTGCAATGGGTGGGGCAGGCGTGGGAGATGGCGAGCGCGAGTTGGGCTCCGTAGCGGCGGGCATGGTGGGATATGAATGCTAGCGAATGCGCGACAGTAGGAAGCCTGCAGCTGCGGAGGATCTGCTCGCGTGGGCAGTGACATGAGCATCGCATCTTCGCTGTGTTTACTCGAAAACGCGCTAAATCTTGCACGTGCTAGCGCGCTCTCACTTCACCCCGCAGCCTGACCTCAGCAACGGCTACGTCTTCAGTCGCACTGCTAGACTAACTAAAAACTATACACAGTATTGCTGTGTCCACGATCACGTCTCAGTTTGTGCAGGTACAATAATGCGCCATGAAACCGTCGCTTGGCATGACTTCGTTACTTTTTCAATTTTATTTCATAGCAAAATCTCAATTACTACCTACCAAAGAATGACAGTGCAAGAAGGCCCTATCCAACAATACAGAGTTATGCTGTCACCTACAATACACTTACTGGGGTCGTCGAAACCTCGTACCCAGTCCGTTGCCGCGAGGTGCCAACGGAACACCACTGCCAGTACACTCTTTGTGTTGCAAGACGACATTCTCCTTCAATTGCGGCGCCTGAAACCCTTGATCAGGACAACTTTTGCTCGGCGTCGCAACATGGCTAATTTGTAAAGGTCTGCGAGGCGAGTGATATCGAGAAGGTCCCCGCTCGACGCACACATTCGGGCTGAGCGGGCTCAATTGTACGCCGCCCTCTTCGAGAAGCTCACTTCCGTTTACCCACTTCTTCGCCTCTGCAGTATCTCGGTGGGATTCTGCTGAGGTACCGACAACCTGTCTTGGAGGCGTCGTATACGTCTGGTTGAGGTAGTCGAGCTTGAGAGGCTTGCAGACATCCGATGTGTCGCGTATGGGACGGCGTTCGAAGAATGCTGTAGCAACTCTCTTTTCGTGAAGCTCAGTTAGGGATGATGCGTCGCCATCGTACACGAACGGGTCTTTTGTAAACAGTGCTGGCTCTCCATTGTTGCCAGTTAGTGCCTCGTCGGGGACAGACACGTCCGTATCCTGGCATGAATATGCATTAGATGCCGGATGCAGTCCCTCATCGGTGCCCTCCTGAGCATTTTTCATTTTGTGGTCGCGCAGCTCGAGAAGCCAGGTGCGTATTCGCTCATCTGTTGCAATAGTCAAGCTGCACCTTCGAGACCGCGTTGTCACGATATACCCCGAATCATCCGACCAGGATCCCGACGAGCGCTCAAATGGGCACAGTAGACTCGCATGTGGCGCTCCAGCTGATGACACAGGCAAAGATGGCTTGTTTGGCAGACATAGGGACTCAGGACGGTACGTGGACGATGCGTGCGTGATGGCTTGGTGTGCTGCACCGCTTCTGTTGGGCGACCTAACTGGCGAAAGGGCTGCCTTTCGGGAGATGTTGGGTAGCTGTGGGTACAGCAGCATAGCTACATTGCTCTGCTCTTCATGGCGATGATGCCCGGCATCCTCGAACATCTGCCGCATACGGGTTGCGTAGCCTGCACGAGCTGGTGATTGCAGCAATCTTGAACCATAATTAGAGCGTCGTATGCGTATATTTGCAGCTCTAGCAGGCGACTCTGGCCCTGGTAAGATCAAGCCTGTTGTGACATATGACTTCCCGCGTTCGGGAGTTTGCAGGTTGATACCACCATCCCAGAGGAAGTTACAGCCCTCCAACTGTTTCTGTCGTTTGGTCGAGCTGGCTCGGAGACAATCTTTGGTTGAGTGTCACAGGCGTACAAGGTCGGGTATGCGCAGTTTCTTCCGAACCGTGAAGTCGGGTTGAGTCTGTGCAAGGTGTTTCTCAGTGCGATGTTTTAGACGAGTATGTATGACATACCTTCGTGGCATCTGATAGGTAAGTTGGCTCGGGACACTGTGGTCGAAGTGTGACTACGCGGAATGGCAGTGACCTAGACACAGAACTGAGCATGATTGCAAAGGCAAGACTTAGTGCATGTCAACAGACTGATCCGGAGTACGCCATGTGTCGCTATTGGTACGAAACGGTGACCGATTGATAGAACTGGCGAGCGGGTACCGACAACTTTCAAGATTGATCCAGAATAGACTAGCGATGTTGTCTCTCTAGCAGCCAAATAGCGGCACGCGCACGAAAGAAGCGACTTTCGATGTCTCGTCATGCAGCGTCGATCGCGTCGTTGCGCCTTCTCGCCAAGCACGATGTTGGTTGTAGCACAACCCTGAGGCGACCCTACAATGCAGGTAAGAGTCTCAGTCACACGTGTGCGAGGTAACATCAATCAGTTGTAAGCTGGGTTTCCGGTTCCTGGAAGACTGTTGGACAGTTGTGTCTTGGTTGCAGCCGACTCGGCATCTCGAAACCACAACAAGAAGTGCCAACGAACTGGAGGAGACAAGGCGCCAGCGCACACGTTGATGGTAATCGACATACGTGCACAATCCTCATTGCTCTCCAAAAATGCAGCGCGGAAAGGGATGCCGATGACGTCAAGAGAATGGGTGTCAAAGGGATGGTGTTGCAATCCGCTTCTTAGACGCAAAACCGCGGTCCCTTGGATGAGGTGAATTGCGTCAGAACATTGTGAATCTAGTGCACATTCTAGCGGAACCGTATCGTGGATGTCAGCAGTCCATCGTTTCAGGCAAATTGTCCAAGTATAGAAGCAGACCTGATGACTGCAACGACACCCCGGCGGCGGAAGATTTGGGCTTCGGGGCCAGGCAGGATCCAGGCTACGTAGCTAATCGAAGGCCTGTGGCCAAAAAGTACCTACTGGTCCGCCAATACGTTGGGATGAACGGGAGAGGCTGTATCCCGAAGATACATCTGGATTGTCGATCACTAGTCAAAGCCGCCTCACGTTGATTACAGGTACCGTGGCGCAACCAACGGCTTTGCACTGTTGATCGTCCCACCGCGACGGTTGGTACCTTAATCTCACCTTTCATTCTCATCCCGTCCCGCAATCTCTTCTCTTCCGCTGCCCCCGATCGTAATTCTCCATAATACCACCGCCATGTGAATGCCCAGGTGGCAGGAATGGCAACGTTCACGTGTTACTGTCGACATGCAGTGGCTGCCGTATTGTCTCGACCAAAGAAGGCGTTGTGCATGCAGGCACACAATGGAGGCGTCTCAGAAAGGTTCTTTTGCCGACTCGCGTGCCAGGGTCGTGCTTCAAACAGACGCATTCGATTCTTCCTGACTGCGCTGCGCTGCGCTGTGCAGCGCAGGTCAGCGACGAGTTGCTGACAAGAAAAAATAGTCCTCAAGGCGGACTTGGGGCCAGATTCATATTGCATCCAAGTCGGTCGCTCTGCGCGACAATCGGAATGCTCGTCGGCGTCTCTCCTCACCTCGTGTTAACACGGGAGTATGTGCGTTAGTCGTCTGTCGCACCATACCGTATCCAATAGCTCGTACCAATAAGAGGCCCCTGAGATGGTCGCCTTTACAGTGGCCGCTGGGTGGCGTCCTCGCTTGCTGCACTCAATGTTCCTGTCCGTGCATCTGACTGACCAGCGCCCTGGCGTGTTCCACAATGAGCCCTGGCCGCCTCCTCAACTTTGCCATTGAGACATTGTATCACTGTGTTTGCGTATTCCCTCCGCACCCTCGCCTTCTTGGACGGCTCCTGGTAGCCAAGTGTATTTTCGCGAGCTTGACGCTCTTCTGGCTGGCCGTCGGCTCCGCAGTCTTCCATCTTCCACCAGTCGCTCCTTTACCTTCCATTCTCTCTCGCTGCACGGCTAGCCCTTCCACAAACGGGCTCGAAGAACATCACAAAAAAACCAACATTGCTCCTCTCGTCGTCCTCCCGAAGGTGCTACTACTTGACTGTCATTCATTCATTGAGCCATTTTCTCACACAGACGAGGTTTTAGTTGTGGCCAGGCAACGCTTATCATGTACGTCCGTTGCTCTCCTCTGAAACCCGAAACTGGACAGTCGGCCGTTGGTGCTGTGACGAACAACGTTACACATCTCTGATTCTTCGCATCCTCCGTCCACACTCGTGGGCAGGACATGGCCAGATGATGTGTCTTTCGTTCCGCTTGACCTATAGGATGCACTGCATAAGTGCCTGGCATTGCTGTGTTCCACCCCATTGCAAAGCCCTTACTGTCTTGAGCGGTTCATGCGAGGGAAAAGACTGACTTATGGCGACAGAAATCTATCGTCTTAACCAACGAGGCCTTTGCCCCGCTTCAGCCGCGTCAAACCTCTTGGACTGTTCTTCGCTGAGACATCAGCGCGGGGGCCAGTACGAAGCAAGGAGCCACTACAGTCCGCAAGCTGTCTAATCCTGTCGTTCGTTCTCCTGGCTGTGCCTAACGTGCGCTCCAATCTACACGCTCACATTGTCTCTGAATTAGGTACGGGATAGTGTTGGGATCCATTCTTTGATCTGCGATTTTGCTTGAAGTGTCTCAAGGCTTCACACTTTCGTTCTCCGCATATACTTGCACGGCCAAATCATAGTATCTCACCAGTCCTACAACGAACCATCTGATTGATGCTGGATATCATCTCATTCGACAACATCCTGGAGATCCTTCAAAAACTCACGAGACAACGAATCGCGCGACATTCTTCGCTTTAGACCTGTGTCGGTCTTAGACACAACAGTCGTCGCCATTGATTCTGCGATTCAATGAGTTACGATCCAAGAGGGCGGCCTGGTGGCGCGCCAGGAAGTAGGGACGACGTAGATGCGAAGAAAGGCTCCGTCAGGGCTGCGCGACAACGACTGCAAGCCGAGCAGATGCGAACCCAACTACCAGACACATCCAAAGATCATAGGACTTCCCCAGAGGCCAAACCCAACTTGTATCGCAAAACAAGCAGTCGTCGTCCAGCGCAAGTGGGAAAGCTCTAAAAGTCTCTCCACCACCGCAATGGCCTTTACCAAACGATGAAGCCATGGTGTCTGGCTTTAGTCCCATAATACCGCCTCGTTCTCCAAAGAGACTACAGTCGCCACGGCATAACGATCGACCACTTTCTGACGAATTTCCTATTCAACAAGTGTCCCCAACTTATGCTCAACAGTCGTCCGCAGAATACCTGCAGCCACCTTCACCAAAATATCGCCAGCCCTCACCAACAGAGGAAATGCTCTCGCCATCCACCCACCGATCTTCTCGCCCACTTACAACCTCATCAATGGCCTCCGAGGCCTCTTCCCTTGGCTCGATTCCGGATTTCCCTGTACCACAACCTCCCATGCCGTCCATACAACAAAATCAACAAGCTCGTCGCATGCCTAGCCTAGGTCCACCGCCCTCGTCGCGAAGAGGACCATCGTCATATTATACACAAATGTCATATGTGTCGCCAATAGCCGAAGAGTCAGACACGCGATCCGATTTGATGCGATCACGCCATGGTTCTTATGCCTCTAGTAATGTATTCCCATCTCATCGTGACTCTTACTATGAGAACGAAGATCTCTACTCAGATGACGATTCGACAATAACAAGCGAACGCGGCACAATCTCACCAGCGGAACCGGATGATCGACGAAGCCTTGTGCAGCAATCGCCTGCGTTGCTTCGACAGGCTAGTATGGGCAGACGGACAAAGCCATCCCTGATGACCATCAAGTCGGTAGATAACCTAGGAAAAGGTAAGCCCGAGGGTAGCAAGAATGGTGCGGGGATGATGGGGCTTGGAGGTGCCGCGTCAGCAGGACAGGGTTTAAGCTCGATAGGTATGCGCAACGTGGGCGCGTCCTCCTCTTCGTCATCACTCAGGAACATGCAACTTGCTGGCGCATATGGCGACTTGCCAGAAGAACTCACCCCAGGAAGAAACGCGTCCTAACGAACTTTGGCAGAGCGCGCTGGTATGCGAAGACCACCGAAACTCGACATGGATGCGGTACGAGATGCGGAGGCGCGTGGGAGCCTGACAAGTCTTCCCGAACTTATAAGAAGAGCGACTCGACTCGCAGCAAATCTCGACCGTGGGAAAACAGCAAGCCGATTAGGTCTAGACTTTTGGGAAGCTGGAGCACCAGACGGGAGAGATGTTCGGCAATCCGGTTTATCTGATATGCTCGCTGCGTTTCCCTCACCCCGGACAAGACACTCCGGGCAGTCGCGCATCCAAGTGGCCATCAGCACGTGGTGATTCTCGCGCGGGTAGGACTGATTCAGCCATGAGCAAGGAGAAGCCCAAGCGACGTCGCAGGTGCTGCGGTATGCCAGTCTGGACATTCGTGACGCTGCTGATTGTATTGCTGTTCATCATTGCTGCGGCTGTGGTGATTCCAGTGGTGCTCATTGTGATTCCAAACATGAACAAGGGCAACAACAGCGCTGCTCAGGGAGATCAGAACGGTAACGGCGGTGGCAGTAATGGCGGCAATGGAAATGGCAATGGAAACGGCAATGGCAACGGCAACAGTGTTACAAGCAACTCGCCACCCCGACCAGCACCAACACTAGCACCAGGAGACAATCAGTGCGACGGTGTAATAACTTGCCAGAACGGGGGCATATCAATCCTGAACCCCGACCGCTCATGTAACTGCGTCTGCATCAATGGCTTCACTGGTAGCACATGTACGAACAATGATGCCACTGGATGCACCACGACCACGATCCCGGGAACTGCCAACAATGCTACCATGGGGACAGCGATCTCTCGCCTTCTTGATAGCACTGTGTCGGAGACCAACATACCGCTGAACTCCACTCGGGTGCTTTCGCTCTTCTCGGAGCTATCTCTCAGCTGCGCAGCGCAAAACGCACTCATCACATTCAACGGTCTTGCATCTCGATCCGAGAAACGAGCGCTCCACTCCATCAACTTAATGGCACATTCTAGAACCTTCGCGTTCATTACCAAATCTTCATCACCCACATCCAGCTCGGGTTCCTGAGCAGAAAGTGAAGAGACAGGCTATCGGCGCGCCCGGATCACCAGGACCAGCGGTCACGAAAGCTGCAGAACCTAGTGCAACCCCAACACAGCCAGTTTCCAGCAATGTGGAGGCTCTTGATTTTGCCCGTACAGGGGTGCTATTTGCCATGCAAGAAACCGGGGAGCTAGACGTCGCCGCAAAAGCACAGGAAAGCATTCAAAACTTCCTTACGAGCAACCGCAACGGCAACGGCGGCAACAATAATGGTGGTAACAACAACAATGGCGGCAACAGCAATCTCAACATAGGGCCATTTAGGATGGATCTTGTCCAACTCACCATCACCTTGAACAACGGCACCGTCATCCGCGCTTCATCATCTCCGTCATAGATTTACTATTAGCGTCATTGTCTTTGCATAAGCATACGCAACTTCCCCTGTATTTTTTTGTTTAGCACAGCGATACCCTGTTGGACCGCATAGAGCGTTCATCACCACCAATTTCCTTCTCCAAATCAATGTACCATATGCCCGGCGAGCCAGATGAACCATCAGACCGGCGCCCTTTTCCTATCTCATTTCATTTTCGCATCTGTAACCCCCTATATCTGTCTTGACGACGGCTTGGCACAAGTTCTAGGCTGGATCTAATGTTTATAACCAGGTGCACAATACCCATGTATGTTGAACGAGACAACGGTCTCCAGCTGGCTAGGAAAGAGACGTAAATTAAGAACACATATAAGAAAGAATCATTCCACTGTTATTTGCACCCAATGCCCGTACAGAAGTCGAAGTGCATGAGCAAAGCGCGAAGTATACGCATCATCATCTCACCATCATCCGCTCCCTCATTTATTGGCGCATCGGCGACATTGACTCCCGTGTTCCCTTTGGTCATTCGAAATAGTCCAAGGGCCGCCTGTCTTGCCCGCGGAAGTTCCGAAGTTCGAAGTGTACATACCATCATCTCACCATCCTCTGCTCCACCATATGCGAGCACGCCGGCTACATCGATTCCCAGTATCCCCTTTGTTCAATTGGAACAGCCTAAGGCCGCCTAGATTACTCGTCGAGTTTCGATGTTCGGTGTTCGGCGTCCACGTCGTTGTCGCTCGTCCAACCCTGATTGACCACCAACCACCAGCCACCACATTTGACCATCTCTCCTTCACCTTTTGGAAGTTGACCACCACTCCCACCTACATCTCTCGCAATAGAATCTCGTAGAAACTCCGGCACGGCTCTCGGCGCCCGCCCTTTAGCGCCCACAGGTTAGTGTTTTATTCTCGCTGCAGCCGCAACCTCTGAAAATACCACCACACTCAACTGCTCGACTCAACCCGCTTAACAGCAAATTGAATCTTGAGCCACCCTCCTCTCTGAGTGCCCCATACCCCCCTTCCCTCCTCTACCTCACTTCTTTCCTCCTACCTCTCTCTTCCTCTTCTCCCTCCCTCTCTGGTCTGAACAGCAAGCTCCTGTTGACCACCCCCACACTTCACCACTATGCTGTGGTGGTAAGCTGTTGGGGCCATTGGCTTCCCTTCTGGGTTGTTCAACGGCCTCCTTCCGCTTCGCCTGGCTCGGTGATCTCGCTCGAGAAGCTCATGGTCATCACGGAGATCGCACAGCTTGTCGCCCCTCCACCAACGACCGTCACCGTCACCGTCGGCAGTAAGTAGCTTTCCCTTCTTGTGACATCGCCAAGTTACCCCGACCACCGCCTATGGTTTGGTGGTCATATACAATTATGCTTTCATGCGCTTTGGTCAAGAACCATTTAGCTAACTTTCATCCCCATAGTCCCTGATTGATCCACACGGCCCCCAAGCAAGGCAATTCTTCGTTTCTGGTCACATCATGACCACGTTGGCACCCCTCGCCAACGGCCTGCACTACGCAGTCAGGAGAAGCGTTGAGCCGCTTGGCCTCCACTTGAAAGCTGGTATCGCCCATGACGTTCGCAAAGTCATGGGCTTTACCAAGCTGAACATCAAGATGCGCCATCAATTCGTCGGCTACATTCCAACCATGGATCTCTTCAAGCCCGATACCCACGGCTTCGACCTTCGCGAGATGGGCTTTTTCCTTGCTCCATTCAACTCCAGGCTCGACGACAAGTTCGGTCACAGCGTCAGCGACACTCGCACAGCGACCCCTGGCGACTACAAGTACCGCGAGCTCGAGGACTACTGTCTCGCTGGCCGCGTTGTCGAGTGGCACGAGGACGCGGGTTGGAGGCAGCAGCACCAGGCGCAACTGGCGCATCCATGGTTCGCAGGCGGTGCTAGCTATGGTACGAGGCACTAGAAAGCCACAGTCTACACTTTTTTGAAGACCAAACAACTCGTCAGTCACCTACTAATCTGGATGGCCGCCACCATCTTCACCACCTAACACCCATCAAAGCTAGGCCTCCTACCCCCCTTCTCGAATCCTCTCCCCACCCTTCCCCAGTTCTCCCCCCTTTCCCCAGTCTTACCATTTACCGCTCACCCTCGTTGTCCTCTAACAATCCAGGCACGTCGACTTCAGCATGGGAGGAGCAGCAGTCCCTTCTTGGGTGTGAATGGGGCATAGCCCTATACACCGGCGGGGAGCGCTCCTGCTTCTCCTACATTCTCGCATCTCGATACCAGCGGCTGTGAGGCAGCCGTGACCTAGTCACGTGAGGCGCTCGTCTCCTTGTCCTTCGGGGCTTGGTTTCCAGGTGTCCGTCTGTCCTCCTCATCATACCTGCATACGTGTTTCCCGGGCCGCTCAGTGGCCGTGTCATTAGACACCTGGCGAAAGTCAGGCAGAGGGGCGGTGCGATAGGGTTGGTGGCCATGACGCGCAGCGAGAGACGTTAGTCTCTTGCGCCAGCAAGATTGAGAGTCCCGATCCTCACGGGTCATAGTGGCTCCTTTCGAGGGCGGTTAGCGCATGGTGGGTATCGAATCGGGTTTGTATGTGCTGTTGGAGTTGTGTTTGGTGCGTTAGGTAGGTAGAGGGTGCAGCGGTAGATGGGCGGATTGGGGCGAGTGGTGGAGAGCTGACGGAAGGTCACGGCGAGGGCTAGAGAAGGTAGGTCGTGATGGCTAGGCTACGGTGGTTGGTTTGTGTAGTGAGCATGGTGTGCTGGCCGTCTAGGCTCGCAGGACTGGCTTGGGACGTGGTCTTCTGCGAAGAGGCTGGTTTTCTGGATGCATGGTGTTTGGAGTTTGGAGTTTACGGAAGATACCCATTTGGTTTGCTGGCACGTCTTGGAGCACGGTCATCATAAATTACGGTCTGGAAGATGAGGTAGACCGGATAATGAGACTGTACGATTGGCGCCATTGACATGCCCACACATGCACTGTGATCTTTGCCAGCTGTGACATTGTGAAACTCTAACTTTGAGATGTGAGCTGAACACGCGAGCTGAAAAGATGGTGTTTCCTTACGAGCTGAACGGAAAGGACATGGAAGCTGCAAGCGAGACGCGACTGCCCCTCCACCCCACCTCAAAGTCGTGTCCTGTTTACTCAAGCTCCGGCACGACCACAACAACAGCGGCACCACATCTCGGCCTCGTACGTCCCCTCACACACTCGACACCATGCCCCAGGAAAACTCAAAAGTGTCCGAACCCGACGCGACCGCCCAGGCCGCCGCCGAAGATGTCGCCGAGTCAAGCAAGCCAAACGTCGCAGCCGAGTCGGCCGATGAGAGCGAAGAGGAGGCAGGAGCGGTAGAGGGCAGCGGGGAGAAGAAGAGCCGGAAGCGCAGGATCAAGGACGCGCTCACGGGCAAGGGCAAGGCACCCGAGATCACGTCGACAGAATCGCCAGCAGGAGGACACCTCAGCAAGGACCAGATGAACGAGCTGCTCGAATCAAATCCTGCGCTGAAACAAGAGCTGCTGGCAAAGTCAAAGGGCCCCAAGGACCTCGAGCAGATGATCCGCAAACTCAACATCAACGAGATGCTGACGGGGCTGGCGCCAGGCGGAAAGAACACCAAGGACATGGCCAGCCACGCCTTCTGGAAGACACAGCCGGTGCCCAGCTTCGACGAGATGGCGAACAAGGAGAAAATACAGGACGGGCCAATCAAGGAAGTCAAGATTGAAGAGGTCGACAAGAACCCCAGCCCCATGTACCCTGGCTTCGAATGGGTGACCATGGACTTGGAGGATGAGAAGCAGTTGGAGGAGGTGTATGATCTGCTCACAAACCACTACGTCGAGGACAAGGACGCGACGTTCAGGTTCAGATACTCGCCATCATTCCTGAACTGGTACGGCCACCTCCCATAGACGCGCGCAAGCCTGGGGCTGACATGTATAGGGCACTGAAAGCACCGGGCTGGAAGAAGGAATGGCACGTCGGTGTGCGCGCAACCGCCTCTGGCAAACTGGTTGCCTTCATCTCTGGCATCCCCATCTCCCTGCGCGTTTCGCGAAAAGACGCTCAAGTGCTCCGAAGTCAATTTCCTCTGCGTGCACAAGAAGCTGCGCGCCAAACGCCTCACTCCCGTCCTCATCAAGGAAATCACTCGCCGCTGCTACGTCGAAGGCACCTTCCAGGCCGTATACACCGTCGGCTCCCTGCTGCCCACACCCGTCTCAACATGTCGCTACTTCCACCGCGCCATCGACTGGGAAAAGCTGTACGATGTAGGCTTCTCGCCTCTTCCCCACGGCAGCACGAAACAGCGACAAGTCATACGCTACAAACTCCCAGACGTCACCGCGACCCCAGGCCTCCGCCAGCTGGAAGCAAAAGACGTCGACGCGGTAGTCGACCTGCTCAGGCGCTATCTCGAGCGCATGGACATGGCGCAGGTCTTCGACAAGGACGAATTCGAGCACTGGATGGCGCCGACGGAAAAGCCGCAAGAACAGGTCGTGTGGAGCTATGTCGTCGAGGACCCGCAGACCAAGAAGATTACAGACTTCTTCTCGTTTTACAACTTGGAGAGCACGGTGCTGGGCAACAAGAAGCACAATGTCGTCAAGGCCGCGTATCTGTTCTACTATGCGACGGAAGTCGCGTTTGAGAAGGATGATGCGAAGCTCAAGACCAGGCTGAATGCGTTGATGAGGGATGCGTTGATTTTGTCGAAGAAGGTGAGCTCCTCCTACATCTGTACTGATTTATACTGCGTGACTTTGCTGACGAGGATTGTTCAGGCTGGCTTCGACGTCTTCAATGCCCTCACTCTGCTCGATAACCCGCTCTTCCTTGAGGACCAGAAGTTCGGCGCGGGAGACGGCTCGCTGCACTACTACCTGTACAACTACCGCGCGGCGCCGATTGGTGGCGGCATCGATGCGCGGAACCAGTCGAGTGCCAAACACATGGGCGGCATTGGGCTGGTCATGCTGTAGAAGGTGTACGAAAGTAGGACTAGTTGGATTGTGTACATGAGCATTGGATGCATGATGTGATATGATATGATGTGATATGCTGAGTGTATCTAGCAACAAGGAAAAGCCGCGGCCCAGGTATACGCCGTGAATGCAAATGCGCCTTCATATCTACAATTCCCATCTTCCTATGCGTGTGACTGAACAACGGTGCAACTACCTCTTCTCCACGAGCAGCAAGTGCATAGCGAGGTACGCCAGGATAATGAACGCGCCGCCATAGACGGCCAGACCTATGCAATCCCCCCACAGCGCTTGGACATTGAATCCGAAACTGCTCAAAATAGCCGACCCAGGGACTTCGATATCAAGTCCGTATTTATGATCGATCAAGCTGAGATACTTGACCTCGTTGACAATCAAGCCCTCAAACGCGTAGTGGAATATCGACAACTAAGCACATTTCGTTAGCAAACCTCATACTTCTGTAACACATGGTATGGTATAAGGGGAAGTCAAGACTTACCGACTGCAGCCACTTGGCGACTCCAGGGATACTCTCCTTGTTCAAAAAGAACCCGGAAAACAGCAAGCTAAACAACATGACCAACACGCCAATAAGATTCGCGACCCCGGAGTTGCGAAACACGATGCCAATGAAGAGGAAAATCGCCGCGGCCGCGAGATTGAACAGCACGAGGAAGAGGACGAATTTCAAAAAGTTGGGCCACGCGGGGATCAGCCCCGTCATCGGGTACACGATGATGCCGAGGATCATGGGCGGCAACAGGCGCAGCGGGATGATGTCGAAGATGACTTTAGCGGCGAAATATGCGGGCGGGGAGTAGTATCCCTTTGCGCGCTCGCGGGTGAAGAGCAAGCGCTCGGGCGCAAAGACAGTCAGAATCGTGAGACTGCTAAATCCGAACAGACTGAGGACGAATAAGAACAGGCCAAGACGGTTCTGGAAGCCCTTGATGTCGTCGGTTAGGCCGTAAAACAGGAAGCCGAGGAAGACGGCGAGGACGATTGCGATGGCGTAGTGCGTGAGCATGAGCATGGGGTTGCGGTAGAGGTTGCGCCATGTGCGGCGGGAGAGGATGCGGAATTGGCCGAAGAGGCCTGACTTTTTGGAAGCCTTTGAGTTTGCCGGCGGCGATGAAGCCGTTGAGTTCGTGCGTGCCATTGGCGCCGTTGGCTTCGTTGGCGCTTTGGACTGCGGTGGCGATGTCTTCGCGGATGTTGGATGCGACTTCGGACTGTGCGTAGGCGGTGATGAGGATGTCGAGGTTCGTGCCGGTGCCGCCGTTGGCTGGGGGTGGCAGCTCGTCGGGGTCTTCGAGGATCTGGGGCGGTACAGAGCCTCCTTGACGCGTGAGCTTCAACCACTGAGCTTTGATACCGGCACGACGATCGAGGGGTGCTTCGTCGTCCGTCTTGGGGGACATGGTACCATCTACAGGGGCGCTGCTCCTCTTTCGCGTGAAGAGCTCGCGCTCTTGCTGCTGTCGGATTGATGTCCTGCGCTTGTTCCTGGGACGTGTGCTGGACGTGCCGGGGCTGCCGGCGACATCTCGCTCGATCTCGGAGGTATTGATGCTTGGGATAGACTTGACGGCGATGGCACTGCTTGCACTGGTGTGGAGTCCGTCTCTGGTGAAGAGTGAGTCCTCGTCCATGCTCGGGCTTGATGCACTTGCGTGCATAGTGAGATCAATTAAGTAGTCCGCAATGTTGAATCCAGGTGGGCATGTGTAGCCAATGTTGTCAAAGTATGGCTGGCAGTGCTCGAAAGGCCCAGAGTAGACTGTCCTACCCTTTGCCAGGAGAATCAGTCGGTCAAAGAGCGCTACGATATTCGAGCGGGGCTGATGGATGGTGACGACGACTGTTCTGTTGTAGTTCTTGACGAGGTTAACCAAGCATTCTACAACGTTGAAGGCGTTGAAAGCATCCAGACCACTGGTGGGCTCGTCCAAGAACAAGATACTGGGCGATGTCACCAACTCACACGCGATGCCGACACGACGCTTCTCTCCGCCAGAAATGCCACGTCCCGTCTCTTCAGACCCAATCTTCTGATTGCGGATGTGGTAGATACCAAGTTGGCGCTCAACGTCCTCGACTCTTTGTTCCTTCGATGCCTTGCTCATGTCTTTGGGGAGACGAAGGAGAGCAGAGTCCAGGATGGTCTCGTGTACAGTGAGAGTTGGCAACAGGGTATCATCCTGGTCAACGAACCCAATCACGCTCTTGAACTCTTCTGTACGAACTTTCTCGCCATTGAGATAGAAGTCGCCGTTGGTAACACCGACCTTGTTCTTCCGTGCCAGAATGTCCAGGAACGTGGTCTTTCCAGCGCCAGACGCTCCCATGATGGCCATGAGCTCGCCGGGGTGAACTGCGCCAGAGATACCAGACAAGATCTGCTTACCATTCAGGTTGTATGTGACGTTCTCGAACATGAGGGCAGCGGGCTTGTGATCAGCCAGGAGCTTGGCATTCTCGTCCTCCTCGTCATCAGAGAGATGGATAGCGCCGTATCGTTGCCTTTCGGCGCGATGGGTAAGGTACCAGACGACCAGGATGAAAGCGACAATGAACAAGGCAACGCTTGCAATGACGCCTGCAATCAGGGGCGTGTTGATCTTCTTGACGGGTCTCTCGTAGCCAGGAACCTCTGTCTGGTACAGACATTCGCCAGTGTCGCACTGCAAAAAGATGCTCTCGTCGCCAAAGATGCTCGAAATCAGGTCGTTCATGGCGGGCTCAGAAAAGATACTCCCGCTTTCTTTGCCACCGGCGATGCCCTTGAATTCGGCAGGTCCCTTGATTTCTTCCTTCAGGAAATCGCCGATGTCTATGGAGCCATCTTCTCCGCACAGCATCCGGTCTGGGATGCAGGCACACTTTATGTTGTCGCATTTGTAGTTGGTGATGTTGCGATCGGACTCGGCAGTCCACGAGTCGGTACAGGTATCAAGGCTGCAGTAGAAGGATTCGCGCTGGTCAACCCAGACTGTGCTTGTTAGTTGGGGCACGTGAGACAGTGGCGGGTGCTACTCACATTGGAAATTGCACTCTGCCGTCTCCTTGTTGCAGGAGAAGGTCGCCTGGGGCTTCTTGTCCTTGAGCTGGTCGAGAATCTTCCTGTTGGTGATGTCGCACACTTGGAAGTTCTCCTTGACCAATTGGCCGTCCTTGTAGCACACGCCACCCTGGCCATCCGGCATCAGAGCATTGCATGCGTTGTCCGTCTCGCAGACATTGCAGTTGATGCCCGACCAGCCGTCTTTGCACTGGCATTCCTTCTCGCCTCCTCTTGGTGCGCGGTCCTTTCCATCTGGCAATGCGCCACAGAGCGGCTCTGAGCAGTCTTCGCCTCCAAACCCGGGAGGACAGCTACATCGGCCGCTCGCCTTGGTGCACTCGGCGAACTGGTGGCACTTGAAGTCCTCCAGGTTGCAGTTGAAACATGGCGGGCATCCATCGGGTCGGTCGCCGTATATGGAGAAGAGCGATTGGGGGGTTTCGGCGACGGAGTAATTGCTGAAGCTCTTGTAAGCTGTAGAAGACCCCGCCAGGCCCAGCAGAGCGACGAGCGATGCCGTCCACGTCTGTTGGCGCATCGTGTGCCGCGCCGCAGTGCGAGCTCTGTCGCCTGGTGGTGGTGGCGTCTGTTTGTTCGCTACCGTAGCTTTTCTATGCTTATCTCCACAGAATATAGTCGTGGCAAAGGAGTGACGAGCAGCGCGAGAGGTCACCCAGATGGCGAATGAAGGCAGGAGAGTGGTGATGCAGTGGGGAGTGGCCAGGCAGGTAGGCGGGCTACTATCGGGGCTCCATGGACGTGATTCGTGGGGGCTGGGCTGGAGTCTTGGAGACGGGACGCAAGCACCAAGCTGCCTCAGACCGAGGCACAAGGCACAAGGCACAACTCACAGCGCGCCAGGCACCACCATCACATCGTCTTGAGTTGGTCGTTCCACAGCAGAACACCACTCATGTAGAGCACGCAAACATTGCGCGCATACAGTCAGCATGTTGCATCGCATGCGATCTGCAACGGTCCCATGTGGCATGCGCGAGCTAGGCACAGCAGACAGCTCTACCAGCTAGCTTCCGCCGTGCAGCTCCGCAGCGCCCTTTGTCAATTGGACAGACTACTATAACATGGACCTGCCATCCTGGACGACCGGATGGCGAGAACTGTGAACCATCGTTCCCCTTCACAACTGCCTCAGCCTCAAACCGCCCAACATGGTCAAGATCAACAATTTTGCAGTCGAATCCGTGAGTCTGGTCCTCCCCGCATTTCTGCTGCTCCACTGAAACCTGACTGCCGCAGTGGATGGATGCATATGAGAACAATTGCAAGTACAATATAGCCGAGACATGCTGCGCGTCCATATCCATTGATCAGCTACGCGAGCTTTCCGAAGACAAGACGCGTGAGGTTTTCAATACGTCCAAGCCCCTCACATATGGTGCCATCCGAGGAAGTGACGAACTGCGCAACAATCTTGCACGACTCTACTCGGCCAAGGTCACAACGCCGCTCTCCCCAGACAACATCTTGACCACCCCAGGTGCAATTCAAGCAAACTACCTTACCACCTATGCGCTCGTGGGCGAAGGCGATCATGTCATCTGCCACTACCCGACCTACCAGTCGCTCTACGAGGTGCCCAAGCAGATGGGGGCAGAGGTCGACTTGTGGAAAGGAAAGCCCGAGAACGGCTGGGTGCCATCTATCGACGACCTGAAAGCACTGATCAAGCCCAATACCAAGCTCATCATCATAAACAACCCCAACAATCCCACTGGTGCGATCCTCAAGAAGTCTTTCCTAGAGGAGATTATCGCTGTTGCTTCAGAGAAGAACATTCTCATACTCAGCGACGAGGTCTACAGGCCTATATTCCACTCCATCAGCCCGTTGGACAAGGATTTCCCTCCGTCCCTGCTCTCCATGGGTTACAAGAACGTCATCGTTACCGGCTCCATGTCCAAAGCATATTCGCTCGCTGGCATCCGCATAGGCTGGATAGCTTCGCGCAATCAAGAGGTTATAGAAACCATTGCCTCTGCACGGCACTACACCACCATCTCGGTATCGTACATGGACGAGCAAGTTGCGGCTTTTGCACTCAGCTCGAGCACGGTCCACGGCCTACTTGCACGTAACATCCAGCTTGCAAAGACGAACATGGCTCTGCTGGAGAAGTTTGTGGTCAAGAACGAAGACGAGTGCGAGTGGGTGAAGCCGGTAGCAGGTACGACAGCATTCATCAAATTTCACAGAGAAGGCAAGCCAGTCGACTCTAGGGACTTTTGTAAGAAACTACTCGACAAAATGGGCGTAATGTTCACGCCAGGCGACTGCTTTGGCGAGGAGTGGAAGGGCTATGTCAGGATTGGGTTCGTGAACAGTACCGAAGTCATCGAGCAGGGACTAAACGAGGCCACCAAGTTCATAAGGAAAAACCTGGACGATGTTGAATTGGCAGCTTGATCGTAGCCTAGTTATCACGAGATCAGTATGCTATGGTGCAATCTTTCAGGTCTCATACTTCTTCTCAAGAAACTTTGTTGGACCTTGCGACCTTGCATGAGCTCAACCTTCAGTCATACTTCCTGCACACTAAATTGCCCCGATTTTGTGGTATTTGCGTCTGATGCTCGTATCTGTAAGCTGCTTTGACGCGCTTGACGCTGTATACGCCATACACGCCTACGTAACATGCTTCTAAAAGCTGTAGAATTGCTGACGAAGCGCATTTGAGGTCTTAAAACATATAGTTATCCCAAATAATTGACAATTACTTCAGGAAAAGCAGTGCTACGTTGTTCGAGACCTGAAGCTCCTGCTACTCCCGCACTTGCGACCCCGCAATGAGCAATTGGCCATAGCTTCAACCTCACGTCATACCTAGGCCCATCTCCCGAGCTAGAACATACGCCAGAAGAACGATTGACAAGCAATTGACGTCTCCGGGCACCTAGTCTTCTCCATAAGTGCCGCCTCGGAGAGTCATTGACGCTATCTTCTCATACATAAGATCCGGCTGTCGCAATGCGCTCTTTTGCTGCTGCCACTCGATCTATTGCGCGACAACAAGCTTGCCGGAATAGTTTTCAAAGACGAAAATTACCATTGATTATTTCCAGAGGATACGCTGCAAATATGGGTCACAACGTGCCGTCTGTATGTTCTGCCGCGTTCCGATGAAGCCGCGATTTGGATTCTGAGGAGGACAACACTAATCACCACGCGCAGCTCAACGACAAGTCTCTCCTCAAGAGCAAGACGTATGTCAACGGAGAATGGATAGGCGCAAAGTCAGGAAAGACCTTCGAGGTCCACGGTAGCTATACTCCAATTGCTTGATGCTTCAGTCTCTAACGCAGATATACAGACCCCGCAACGGGCAACCTCATCGGCACCCAGCCTGAGATGGACGCCGCCGACACTGAAGCCGCCATCGCCGCCGCAGCCGCAGCACTCCCTTCATTTCGCAAACTCACAGGCCGCGAGCGATCGCGCATGCTGCGGAAATGGTACCAGCTCATGATGGACAATGCCGACGACCTGGCTAAGCTGATTACATGGGAAAACGGCAAGCCGTTCGCCGACGCAAAGGGCGAAGTCAACTACGCAGCAAGCTTCTTCGAGTGGTTCGCTGAAGAAGCACCAAGAATGTACGGCACCACAATCCCAGCGACCGTGCCGGGAAACCGCGTCTTCACGCTCAAGGAACCCGTCGGTGTCGTCGGGCTCATCACCCCGTGGAACTTCCCCGCTGCCATGATCACAAGGAAGATCGGACCCGCGCTGGCCGCAGGCTGCACAGTCGTCGCAAAGTCTCCCGGCGAAACGCCCTTCACCGCCGCCGCACTCGCTGAGCTCGCGCACCGCGCCGGCATCCCCAAGGGTGTCGTCAACTTCGTGACCGCGCTCGAAAACACGCCCGCTGTCGGCCAAGTGCTCACCTCCAGCAAGACGGTCAAGAAAAGTGTCCTTCACCGGCTCCACCGGCGTCGGCAAAATCCTCATGAAGCAATCCTCCTCCACGCTCAAGAAACTCTCCTTCGAACTCGGCGGCAACGCGCCCTTCATCATCTTCGACGACGCTGATCTAGATACCGCTGTTGCGGGTGCTATCACTTCCAAGTTCCGCTCCTCGGGCCAGACGTGCGTGTGCGCGAATAGGATTTACGTCCAGTCCGGCATCTACGACGCCTTTGCGGAGAAGTTCACAGAAAAAGTCAAGGCGTTTAAGGTCGGCGGCGGATTTGAGGACGGCATCACACACGGCCCTGTCATCCATGACCGCGCGGTATCCAAGGTCGACGCACACGTCCAGGACGCCGTCAAGCAGGGCGGTAAAGTGCTCATCGGCGGCCAGGCGTTGCCAGACCTGGGCAAGAACTTCTACCAGCCCACGGTCATCCGCGATATGACCGCAGACATGCAACTCGCGAGCGAAGAAACCTTTGGTCCCGTCGCAGGGCTGTTTAAATTCGACACCGAGGCGGATGTTGTAAAATTGGCGAATGCGGCAGATGTAGGTCTCGCGGGCTACTTTTTCAGCAGGGATGTGCAGCGCGTGTATAGGGTGGCGGAGGCGCTGGAGGTAGGCATGGTGGGTGTGAATACGGGGTTGATTTCGGATGCGGCGGCGCCGTTTGGGGGGGTTAAGGAGTCTGGATTTGGGAGGGAGGGTAGTCTGTTGGGTATTGAGGAGTATGTTGTTACGAAGACGGTGACGATGGGGGGCAATGGGCTGCCTTTGCAGGGGGAGTAGGAAGGGGTGTAAATATTAAGTTTGCTGTGCGAGAGAATATATAGCTTGAACCTTGACCATCCATTCATGCCCGCCATGCAGGAATCTCTTCCTTCACATCCCCCAAGCCCATGCCCGTACCCCTCGCAATCGCCCCCAACCTCTCCTCAACCCACCCCCTCTCCCTCTCCACCACACCCCCCTCAATCGCCAGCACCACACGCAACTCCTCCACAAGCCCCGCAAGCAACTCCCTGCAAGTATCCACAAGACAAGCAATACTCGACCCCTCCGCCGGCTGCCTCACCTGCTCAAGATCCCTTGCAAAAGCCGTCACCTTGCGCGCAATCGCCGCGTTCTCTGCTTTCCAGTCCTCCCCCAGCCCTTCGATAGTGTCCACATCAGCATCGCCGCCTCTCTGTCGCACAGCCCATATATACTCCACGCGCGCAATCCAGCGCCTAAACTCGTCCATCAGCCGTTCCGCGCGACCACCCGGCTCCAACAGAGCGGGGAGTTCATGCAGCGGACCCGAGAGGATCTGGATGTACTCTATCAGACCCGACGAAGAAGACCATTCAGTCAGGGCTTGCAGATTCTTCTGTTCCTGGCCGGCTCGTTCAAAGTCGAGCATGGCGTGGTGCAGCCCCGCGACCTCCTCGAATTTCTTGCGTAGGGTTTTGCGTGCGCTGGCGTGCCATTGATGAACCACTTGTGCGGATGATGCGTGCAGGAGGTGCAGCTGGAGTAGTTCCGCTTGCAGGCTGATGATTTCCGGTGGTAGAGATGTGGCACCGGGGGTTGGAGCTGGATGCAGGAATGTTGACGTTAGTGCTTTACCCACTTTCCTGGGAGTGAAATGCTGTTGTAGGGTGCTAAAAGCAGGTCTAGCAGTTTTCGTGGGCTCTTCCTTGGGTGGTGCTCGTAGTCGCACATGTGATGCTACAGGTTCATCGGGTTTGGAAGGTAGTTGAGTAGCGGCGCCAGCACTTGTGCTTTCAAATCTTGTCTTGACACTTGTGCGACTCAATCCCGCAAGCCTGAGTGAGGCTCTTGGGGCAGTAGAAGCTGACTCTGTAGATATACTGTTTGACTTCGAATGACCCCCTGGAGCAACAAGCATGGATCTAGGTCTTGTCATGGAGCTTTCGGTACCATTCAGTTCTTTTCGAAGACCAGATGTGATGCTGGATTTGGTCCGGGTATGGCCTTTGCTTGGAGGTGGCTGCGCAGATTGCGTTGACGTCCCTGGTTTGCGCAGCGATTTTGATCGGCCAAGTTCTGTCGCTTGAGGATCGGATGACTTAGCTGATGCACTCGGAGGGCGTATGGATCGTGGCGCAGCAGTCTGTTCCTCAGTCTTACTTGGTGCTTGCATTCCTGCAGGTTGATACATTGACCTTGGTCGAAGTCGTCCCGCAACTGGTGGCTGTGCATTGGTGCTGTCCATGTTTGATGCTGTGGCGTCCTGGTTGGAGCTATACCTGGCCTGACCGGGCTGGGGCAGAAAACTCCGCCGTCTGATACCATCTACATCACTCTGATAGGAAGAATTGCGGGTATGTCGAGGCCGCAGACCAGGCCCTTGGGATGTGTTTGTTGCTTCTTCACTATGGCTAGATGCTTCCGCCGACTAGAACGAGTCAACAACTATTAGACGGTGAATTTACTGTGGTTTAAGGCTACCTGTGTGACCGCAGCATCCCCGTTGCCCCTGTCGACATGCAGTCGCTGCTTGTACGACTTACTCAATCCGGGAATGGGCATGGTTGGGACGGAGATGCAATTAACGAGGAGGACTTCGGAAGTAAACATGCCAAACACTAGCGTCAGCCCTTATCGATAGCTACCGGCTCGCATCACGTGGCACAAATTATGCCGAGGGAGAAAGTGCATTGATACTCATGTGCATACTTTCATTGGCAAATCGTAATCTAATCGTAACTGGCATGTGAGGGAGTGGCCATATGCTCATAGAACTCCTGTGCCGCATGTGCTCTTCACAGAGTGGCATCCGCAAATTGGACCCGCAGAAAAAGGCAGATCTCGATGAACAAAAACCAAGGTATCGCTGCAAGATGTCCAAAGCTTAAAGGCTACCACGACGGGCTGGGAATGAGACACCCTCAACCGCGGGGTAATCGACGAACCAGCTTACGCGCTCTTGCGCGGCCTCGTTGATCAAGCCACAGGGCAGCTGCCGTCCCTCCTCGGTATCGAATATCTGCTTCAGGACGTCCTTCTTTCCCCCACCGGTGGCGACGAAGCCAATCTTCAGTCCATGCGATGCCACAGGGAGTGAAAGTGTGATGCGCTTTGGAGGAGGCTTTGGCGAATCGGAGATAGGCAGAATCCAAGCATCTGTCTCCCTCAGAAGAGGAGAGCCCGGAAACAGACTGCAGGTGTGGCCGTCGGGACCGCATCCCAGGAGGATCAGGTCGAAGATGGGTATGCGCACACTGTCCTTGGCTGCGAAGCGGCTCACGAGGGTCTGCTCGTACTGATCCGCCAGCTCCTGTATATCGTCCAGGTACTTGACGTCGATGGGGAACACATGGGGCTTTCCCATGCCAGCCGGTATTTTGTTCAGAATCTCTTCTTGCACCAGACGGTGGTTGCTGTCTTCGTGGTCGAGAGGCACGGCGCGCTCGTCGGCGTAGTAAATCTCCCACTTGTCAAACTGGACCTTGCCCTCGCCTGTCTTCTCTTGTAGCAGCGCTTGGCCCAGGACTTTTGGCAGAGAGCCGCCTGAGACTGCGACACGGAAGACGCTGTGGCGCTCAATGGAGCTGTTTTGCGCATCAAGCACGTAGGCGCGCAGACTTGCGGCGAGCTGGCTGGTGCCTTCGAAGGCATATAGATTCGGTGGCTTCGGCATTTTGATGGCGTGCAAGCGGCGACTGTCGTGTGGTGGAGGGACTGGTGCGAGTGAGGGATCTTTGCGCTGGAGCGATGGTGGGGCTGTCGGTGTGCAATGGCGGGCGAAGCGGCAGTCGTTAATAGTGACGTACCCTGGTACCAAACTCTTTTGTCAGACGCGATTGCGATGTCGAGTCTCGCGGCGCAGTGTCGTGGAACAAGTAGCTACTGTATAGACGTAGCCTTATCTCACAGCGTTCGGGCTGCAATTCCGAGCCCATCTTGGAGACGTGCATATGCGCAGCATCGTTTCTGCAGTGTCATATCGCCTATCCGTCGACCCGCATCTTGCGCCATACACCAGATCGTGCGCGGGGCGTTGAATAGACAAGAATCAAAAGCTGGAGTCAGATAACACTTGAGGATGGAGGCTGGCGCTCATCTGATCTAAATACCACCATCGCACTTTCTGCATTCAGCACGCACATGTGACCTCGAAGCGCTCCAGGCTTCGTTCCAAGGTTGCGGCTGCCAAGACGCTTGCAGAACCTCACGTGCTGACCTTCACCACTTCCTAGAACATTCAACATTCAACATTCAAGAGACATTTTGGTAAACGCAATCAAATTGTTCTCTGTCCTGAGCTGGCTGCTTGTCTCGTCTAGTATGCTAGTATGCTCATTCTGGGATGAGCGAGTCAGAGGGATGACGCAAGTCTAGTTGTCATTTCCAGGTGCTGTGTCAGTATCTTGTAGAAAGAACAGGTCACATACATCTTATCCGCCCTCAAATTGTAGGAATTCAAGCACTTAGTTTGCTTAGGTATATCACCTCGCTGGAAGACCGAAATGTCCTGGAGTATTGTCGACTTCTCGGCCAAGGTTGACGCAACCTCACCCATCTAACACCTTCCTTCTTCACGACGACAATCAATAGTCATCAAAGATCTACACGTAGCAGGCTCTTAATTACCCAGCGGGATCCCGCACACGAATTTGACGCCGGCACACTTCTTGGCCTCAATTCGTGACGCGGCACGCCTCCAACAGCCATAATCCAGTGTTCCTAATACGTCGCTTTCAGGACCAGAAAGTGTGCATAACAGGATCAGACGAATTGGAACTTTCGCATTACCACGGAAGAAGCCCGTATGAATCCTTGATCGTGTTGATTGCAGTATGAAGGTCCCGGTGGTACGCCCCACAATGGTGCGCGCGGAGAGTCGGATATCGCACCTGCGCCCTCTGCTACTTAGTGCGAAGGCTTGGCAAACACAACAACCTCACTTATACAGCAATGGATAGAATTAAGATAATTGTTCCTTCAATTTTATTGAAGAGAGCGTAAGCAGGTTGAATATCATAGCTGGCCTTAGAGCACTACCATCGTTACGTTGCGCTGCTGCATAGGTTTGTATGTTTGCTAAGGCTTCGGTGTCCCACTGGTGCTTCTCTGGTGCGGTATTTGTGCGTCAACCTTGGACGGGAGGCCACGCTACCGATATGCCGAGATGGTCGTTGCGTACACAGCCTGGCAGGATAGGCAATATCCCAGCAAAAGTCAAGTGGGTTCAGTGTCAAGACTTCATGCCACCTGCATGCAAGCTGTCTGCCACATTCGTCCGACCATGCGGACGAAAAGTCTTAGCTCTTGAAGACAGAAGATGCTTAAGACCTCACTGGGGCTGCCAGATGGCAGAGACAAAGATTCTCCATTGTTCACTATCTACTTACAATAGCGGGTTTTGGCATAATCAGCATGCTCGACAATTTGTCTCTCATTCAAGTGCTCTCTGTAGCTATTCTCCTGGTCAGTTATCTCCTCATCCATGTGATATTTTCTAACTTCGAAACAGGTCTTTGCTCGATGGGTTGTCAGAGGTATATACCGCGTCTATTTCCACCCACTTCGCAAATTTCCCGGGCCCAAATTCTCGGCATTTACGCGGATACCACATCTGAAGGCGGTTGGTAGCGGCAGAGTCCAGCAATATACTGCTGAAATTCACGAAAAGTTTGGCGATGTGGTCCGTATCTCTCCGGACGGTAAGTATCCATCATTCCAATAAAGATCCCTCAATAACCAAGGAAAATCAGAGCTCAGCTTCACAAGTCCACAAGCTTGGCGTGACATATATGGCTACGGAGCGAGAGAGGGCGCCGGCCACGCACCACCGAAGAACCTTCATCGTTATAATTCGAATGTCAATGGTGTTCCAAGTCTAGTTACCACGGAAGACAATGCGGAACACGCACGTAAGCGCAAGATCTTCTCGCCAGCATTCTCAGATCGAGCTCTTACGGCACAAGCGCCGCTCTTTCTCCGCTATGCTGATCAGCTCGTAAGGCTTCTGAAAGAAGGCGCAGAACAGGGCACAAAGCTAGACATGGTCCGCTGGTATAACTTCACAACCTTTGATGTTATGGGAGACCTCACGTTTGGCGAACCACTGCATATGCTGGACAACGCGGCGTACGATCCCTGGGTCCAGGCCATCTTCGGGGGCGTCAAAAGCAACACGCAGTTCAGTGTTATTCGCAATTCCTACCATACACTGGCTCGCATAGTCACCGCAATGCTGCACAAAACCATAAAAGCCAAGCAGATGACACACTTCAACCATTCCGCCACCCGTGTCACGAAAAGATTGGAGAAAGGACGGGATTCTGAGGGTACCGACATATGGGACCTGGTCTTGCAGCAAGAAGAGAAGGGCAAAACTGGTTTGACAAGAGGTGATATGGATTCAAACGCTGAGCTGTTCATGATTGCTGGGACTGAAACCACAGCGACCACACTCAGTGGACTTACGTATCTGCTCACTCAACACCCTGAGTCGATGAAAAAGCTCGCTGATGAAGTGAGGGGTACATTTGACTCATCAGACGCCATCAGCATGGAAAAAATTGCTCATCTTCCATACCTCAACGCTTGTCTCAAGGAGTCATTGAGGAGGTACCCTCCCGTCCCTGTCGGTATGCCTCATTTGACACCTAGTGACGGAAGTACGATATGTGGCCAGTTTGTGCCGCCAGGTGTAAGCAGGATTTCACACTAATACGAGTACGTTATAACTAAACTTCTACAGACCACCGTCTCAGCACCTCACTGGGCCGTGTACAATTCCGCAAGTAATTTCAAAGACCCCCAGAAATTCATTCCGGAGCGCTGGCTTGACGACGAGCGCTTCGTCAACGATCAGAAGACGGCATTCCATCCATTCTCGTATGGTCCACGGGACTGTCTAGGGAAGAAGTGAGTCCATTGCATTCTGCCTTGCGATTCAGGGCGCTAACGATCTTATAGCATGGCGTGGCACGAAATGCGACTCCTTCTCAGCAAAGTTGTGTATAATTTTGATTTCGAGCTATGTCCTGAAAGTGAGGGCTGGACAGATCAGGAGGTGTATACGTTGTGGGAGAAGAGGCCATTGATGGTCAAGCTGAAAGCAGTGAACTAGACATGAGTGTCTACATCATCCGGTGGTAGCCGATTGGTGTTGATGTGAATCGCATCCGTGGCTTTCCCCCACCTGTTAGTCGTCGAGGCCTTTACATGCTAGACCGACCTCTAGACTTATTTCAGCGTTGGTTCTAGATTGCAACCTTTTCTTTCCCAGGCTAGTTTAGCATATTGATTATTCGCCTCTTCTAAACTGTTTTGTAGTATCTTTGTGCTTTCTCAGTATGACTAGCGATGTCGTCGGTACTCCCTTAGCCGGTCTAGACTTGGAGTATATATTTAGTCGACCAGCGACAATTGATCGGCTTATGATCCCTGATGTCTTCGTGGCCCCGAACCTCGATCTCCAGGGTAAGAAATAAGTGTTCCGTCCGCCAATCATCATGAGTTGTTATCGTGTGAGGGCGCCATAGCTTACCCCAAGTATGTACACGCCATTGCGGTCGGCTTCGCAGTCAGCTACGCAGAACGTCGTTATGGCTGCGTGCTCCGATCTAACGTGTGCAGAACAGGTACTGTAATACTATCGACCTGAATGTCTTTCTCTGCAGGAAGATTTCCAGCGTATAAGACAGGCCCAGTGATCTCTCCTAAACGCCCTGCCATGATACCAGTCTGCCAGATGAAGAAAAAAGCAGATAATTGAAGAAAAGAGATGAATGCAGCCTGATAAATGGGCATTTTGACGTGAATTCGTGAAGCTGTTGTACATATAATTACATGTTACTTGAAGGATAGCTACATGCTCAACCCCATCCCCACCAATACTTGATCTGATCGCCAAACGTTGCTTGCCCCGACTCTCGCCTCTTCAGGCGAGCTATTCGCTCTTCAATAAAAGTGTGGTCGACTTCCTTCGCTAAGCCAGATTGTGCTTTGAGCTCGCCCGCTGCGGCTAATCGTTCGATCTCCTGCTGTTCTGGCGGTAGTTCTGCTAGCTTCTTCTCATATTCTATCCTCTTTTCCGGCTTGACCTTAGCCCATGGGTCGATCTCAGTTTCCGCCGTAGTTTTGGTGTTTGATGCGATGGTTCGGGCAAGTTTCGCGTCCGCCATGAGGCTCTCAAACTTTGGTCTTTCGCGCCCTTCCTTTTCTGCCTTCTCAATCTCTGCCTCTTGTGCTCGCAACCGCTGGTATAGTCTGTCGGCATGCATTTGTATTTTCTCGTCTTCCTCTTGTGACCGCTCCTCCATGGTCAAGTATCCCAGAGCCTTCAGGAACTTGGACTGAGTGTCGTAGCATCGGTTGAATCTCTTCGACTCGGCGTGGCAAAGTGTGCGCAGTGATATCCATGTCTTTGGGTTCATCCAGCAGTCATACTGCTCCATGTACTCGACGGCGCAGTTCTCCATGGCTATTCGCCCAATGCCGGCCTTTCGGTCATTATATGCCTCTACCAAATCGCGCAGTTTATCCTGCTCATTCTTGCCGCGATCGTCAAGGACATTTTGCGGCGTATAGTTCTTCCACAAATGCGCATAGCGGCCGTCTTGGAATTGCGATTGTGGCGGCACGGATGGCTTCTCGGTTTCGGTTTGCTGTGCGGGTTCGGCGGGTTTTGGTGTGGGCGCAGAGGGAAGAGAAGGTTTTGGGCCCGTTGGAGCTTCTTTCTTCAAGAAGTCCTGCAGTGAAGAGTCGAGATTATCGGAAGAGCCATTGCCGCTCCCCCATAGCCAGCCCATGGTTGTTGCAATGCGTGCAGGTGCGATTGTAGATTTTAGTTGTGAAAGGTGAGCCAACCTGGCGGGGATGTTCCGCGGCTCCAAGCTCCTCCCGCCTCACGTGCTCGGAGACTTAGCGCGTCACAACAGAGGCACCACTTCAACAACACGCGACGACGGAACATTGATACCGCCAATTGCTACGCCACCCATCGCTATGGCGCCAGTCGGTGAGAGATGAGATGACAAGTATCAAAGAGTAGCTCAACTGACACATGTCTAGATCGGCGCGAGCACCGGCAGCAACGCGTTCGCGGCGCAGGGTAAGCTCCAGTGGTCGTATCAAAAGCTTCATGAACTGACAGAGCCAGCCCGTCTTCCGTGCAGGCGTCTTTTGGCTTCAACTTCGGCGCTCTCGGCGCAAAATCAGCGAAACAGGCCTCGCTCCCACCTCAACTATCGTCCCGTCGAACACCAGTCCGCAACACACCACGCGGCGCGAATGGCTCGGCTCAGCGACATCGAAGCGCGTCAGCCCCGCGTAGCAGCTCAAAGCGCGCACACACGCCAAAAGGACAAACAGTGACCCCGCAAGTGGGCAAGAGAAAGCGGGGTTCGACGGTGGTGGAGCTCAGTGACGATAATGGCGAAGAGGATGAGCTCAGTCCAGATCGAGAAGAAGTCGTGCGCTCTATCGAGAAGAGCAGGCGCGTGATCGGCACCGTCTCACCCATCCACGAGGAAGTCGATGATGCAATAGACGAACTCTCGATGCTTGGGGACGGTGGGAGCACCGTTCGCAAGTCCACCGTGGACGCACCAGCTGAATCAAACGGGACGCCCATGTCGGCACTTGCACAAAAGCGCATATTCTCTGGCCACACACTAAAACGAACACCAATCGGAGACAAAATTGGCAGCATAGTCGCAACTTCAAGACAGTCCATTACACGCAGGTCCAAGTCCAAGTCCACTGATCCTGCGCCCGAGACGCCCAGTGTGGTACCAAATGGCCGCCCACGTCTGTCAGTCGCATCACGCTCTAGTGCAGCGCTCAATACGCCAAGCGCACCACAAGCAGAAGACGAAAGCGAAGACGAACTCTCCCCAGCTCAGGCCAACGGCAGCACTCCGCGCATTGTAGCCACTGAAGAGCAACCCGAAACCAGCGCCCAAGATGAAGGTCAGATGGAGGTTGACGAGCTCTCTTCACCAGCACAGCCCACGCCGGGCCAAACCACGCCGGCTGGACAGGAAGCGGTGAGAGCGAACGAAGCCGACCTCAATGATTCTATCGATCAAACAGCGACGGAGCTTCCTAAACGTCGTGGCCGCCCCCGAAAGGCCATCCTGGCCGATGAAGACGAATCCCTTAGCGCACCAGTTCCTGCGAAGACTACAAAGCGCGGTCGCCCTGCGAAGGCTGCGAAAGCAACGGCGGTGGCGACCCCGGTATCAAGAAGATTGAGTAAGAAGGACACAATCGCTGGTGCACAAGAGGATCAGGATCAGGATGAGGAGCTTGACGAGCTTTCACCCGACAAGGAGCGCGTTGTCGAGTCGGCAAAACAATCCGCCAAACGCAGAAGAGAAGTCTTGGATGTCTCCGAAGGGGAGGAGTCGGACGCATACGAGGAGCCTGGATCAGAGGAGCCCGAACCCATACCACGCATTACCAAACGTCAATCGCCCAAAGGAGCACAACATGTTAAGCCATCGACGGAGAAGCCACCACGGAAGCGTCACAGGTTCCTTGGCCCGAAGCACGCAATATCTGTCATGCGTATCAAAGGGTCTTCTGTGCGCGGCATCACGGTTGCTGACACTACGCGTACCATCCTTGAAGAAAATATCGATCACCGTCTCAATCGCATGGCCGAAAAGCTGCAGACTTCCACAGATTCCGCACGCCGCAAAGAGCTGCGCGGCGAGCTCAACATGTCTCTGTCCTTCAAGGAAAGCCTGAATGAAAAGTTGCTGGATTTGCAAGACGCAAACGACGTTCTGAGCACCAACTTCAAGAAGATGAAGCTATTCAGGCGCGACAACGCCGAGTTGCGCAAAGACATACTCGCGTTCCAGAACAACAGGCAGCAGATCGCTCTCGAGCATGATGATGTGCAAGCAAGATACGATGCAGAGAAGGCAAAGGCCGATGCAAGGAACAAGCTCAGTGAAGACATGTTCAGCATTGAAGCCGCGATACAGAACGGGCGTAAGAAGGCGCGGAAGGAGGGCCGAGAAAACGAAGGTCCTGAAGTCCCGCTCAGCATGTTGCTCGGGATGGTAGGAGACAATGTGGGCTCATCCGGTGGTGGTTTGCTCGGCAACGTCAAGTTCTTTAATGGCGCACTAGAAAGAGCCGCGGGGTGGCTGGAAGGTCGCGCATGATCTTTTCGTACGCCGCTGGAGATGGATGACTAGGCGTTTTTTCCGATAGTTTGGATACCCGGCACAATGAGCCACAAGATGCAATGAAGCTACATGTTATTGACTGACGAGTTCTTGCTCCGATGACTTGCCCTGAGACAGGTGTGTCTTTCCCCATAAACCAATCAAGTCGCGTGGGTCTGCTAGCGGCCGTCCCAGGCAGGATCAGGATCGCCCAACCCCGTCCTCTGCACGACATCGTCATCATGCGCCACGTATAGTTACAACACCAACCCGCATACAGGATCATCAGACGCATTATCACGCTATCTTTCTATCTGATTTATACATTGCATCCCTTCTACGCATGCGTCGCTACCCATCCCGTCGCAGCAAACACATTGCACGCTATCGTCATTGATAAAGACGTCACAAAGCAAGCGCCGTTATACTTTTCCGCGCCTTTCAGCCGGATCGTAAACTAGGCAATTTTTCTCACTACTACGCAAACTTTCCGATTATTTGTTCCAAATCTCGGCACTGCGAAGAGTGGTTGAAGGGACCATTCATGGACTAGGCGCGCACAGCTTTGCTTCTTCGCAACCTTAGTACACCGCATGTTTCATGCACTCCTGACCTAAGTTGACGTGATTCGCATTCATGTTCGGATGCGCAACTTCACCTATCGCGGCCCTGCTCGAACGCCTCACCATGAACCGCACAAGAATGTCCCCTGGTGCGGGGAAAACGCCTACCGACCTTGAGCTTCCAACTACGCCTGCACCAAACAAATCCAAATCCTCCGCCTCTGCTCCCTCGTCACCAAAGTCCCCACGGAACCCTGCAAATACCTTCTGGATCCATGAGCAGCAGAAGCGCGTTATCCTACATCATCTCGCAGAGTGGGCGCTCAATCACGAATCATGCTTGCACTTCCACGGAAAGATCAGTCTCGAATCTCAGAGTGTCCGGCGATCAGGACATCTTGAGCTAGGAAAACCTATTAAATGTATCTTGACCGACAGCACTTTTACAGATGCTAGGCAAATTATCGTCGTCAAACTCTTCCCGCCGCAGGAATACGCAACGCCTGAAGAACGCGATGACGATGCTTCTCGACGAGACTCAATGGAGCTTATTGGAACTGGACCAAATTATCAACAGCCTAATTTGCGCGTAAGAGAAGGGAGAGCCGAGTCAAGACCAAACTCAGCTAGTAAAGCGAGGAGGCACTACAAGCTGGTTATCCGTTGTGGCGCAGGTTGGATGTCGGCTCGTGACTACTTCAGCAAATTGTATATTTCACGGCTAGACGTACAACTGAATAATCCTGTTGGGCGACTGGAGCATGATGAACACCTGACACACCGATCCCGTGCTCTTGGACCTGCGGCAACGGACGATGATAGCGTGACAATCCGCCCGCTATTCCACGCTTTTCAGAAGCTTCCTGCTGAACTTAAGGAGCTCATACTCATGACAGCTGCCGGATTATCTGGTTCGTATGATCTGCGATCAGATGACTATGGAACACTTCAACCGGGGGGGAAAGATCGCGCCGCAATTTCACTGTCTACGCTGTTCCGGGTCTCCAAGAACATCACGGACCATCTCCAAACACACATATACCACAGCACCGACTTTCACTTTGGCCTTACAGGGTATGGTAGCTTGGTCCTCCCCTTTGATCGATGACTAACTTTGACTAGGTTCACCAACTTCCTTTGGCAGAGTGGGCCAGAAAAGCGACACGAGATCAGACGACTCACATTTCACTTTGGCAAGCTCGCCCTGCTACACTGCATACGTTGGCTCGCGCCGGATGCTATCTTTTTGCTCTTCGAGCCGCCCGTGGCTACTAACCCGCGGTCGTTGCAGTACTTCTGGCGCTGCCAGATTCAAGATCTGGTCAAGGACCTACATCTCTTCACGCTTACCGTCGACATCAAGCAAATTGACAGGACGGATTTGCCAATGATGATTGCTATTATGAAGAGCGCATTTGGCAGTATTGAAAAGCTGCGATTCGTGGAGACGGACAACAAAGGAATAACGACACCAGTGACCTTGGATGACAAGCGACTGAGCGAGCTGAGAAAGAAGCATACGTGGAGGCAGATGTGTTTGGAATACTACGAGGCACATCGAGTGCATTCGTACTTCTATAAATTTGAGCTGCTTAAAGGGCAAGTCGAAGATTTGGAGGCTATCATGGCGAAGGAGAACACCTTCTTTAACACTCCATTTTCGCCATTGGTGCCGAGAGAAGAATTTCCGGCGTCAGCATGAGAATTCTAATGCATGAAACGGCGCGTAATGAGCAAGACGATATGATTAATGACATTTATGATTGGTGGGATGGGGTGGAGTTTGACTAGTACGATCAGTAATACTAGCAGCCGAAATAAGTAAGCTTCAGCCAAACAGATACGCTTTTTTCTCTTAATATAGATCCCGTGTTCAAACGCAGTCTCTATACTCACACAACATCTCTTCATTTACGCAAAAAAACAGGCCTCTTTCCTTCACCCTCGCACAGCCACGCTCGCATCTCCCGCACCCTCTTCTTCGCCGCGTCTCGCGTCCATCGCGGCACTAGCGAATACTCCTCCATCGGCGTGAGCTCTTCCTCCTGCTCCTGCTTCGCCACTTCCTCTTCACTGCTCGTCGACGCCGTCGATGTCGTCGAGGTGTTTGCGCGCTCGAACCAGCCCCGTTGGGGTGGTGAGGGCGTCCGCGAGGGTGATGTTTGGGCGTTCACTGGTAGTAATTGGATCTTCTTGGGGCGCAGTTTGGAGAGCCATGAGGTGGTTTGTGACGAGGCACCCGAGGATGTAGATGTTGATGAGGGCGTGGGAGAAGGAGAAGATGGGGTCTGGGATGTGCGTTTGAACATGTCTATTGTTTTGCTTCTGGGCTTGTTGATGGATTTTGAGATTTGAAATCTGCGGTGGAGGGAGGGTGAAAGCAGCGAGGTTTGTTTGGACAGTTCGTCTTTTTGGACTGAAGGATATGGAATTTGGATGGCTTTTGTATACTGTTGGTAAGGTAAGGGGGTTTTTCAAACTCTGGTTGAGGTGGGATTGTTGGTGTGGTGCAGAACCATGGTTCGCAGTAGTGTAGATTTGAGGACATGAGATCTCTGTCGAATGGTACCACTGTCAATATTCGATTTGTATACTAGCACGATGTATTCTAATATATTACCGCTGCGTTAGCAGAGGGTTCAAAAACCGTCCATGGATGCCTTCAGTTAATGATCGTGTGGTAACGTTAGACATTTACTATCGCCCATCGCTCATCGCCATGAGTGGGGGCAAGGGAATTATAAGTCAAGCTATGCAGCATGTCGAAAGCGAGATTGAGATTTGGCACAGAGATAGGCTTACAAGATAGGTTCAATCTTTCATAGTCTAGCTTTGAGAGATAGCCAGCTCCTCGTGATAGAACATACAGAAGTAGTAATGCAAAACTCCTCAAGCAGTTGCCGCCGACCGAGCATCAAAGACGATAGAGTCTTGAATATCAACGACCATGACACTTACAGTGTAGTAAATTGCTTCATCATAGGTTGGCGGTGCATCAAAGATCTCATCTTCGTACTGTGGCAGCGATTCGTTGTGAGCGACATGTACATACCAACCATCTGTTTCGGGATCAGACATCCCAGCCTCCACGTCATGGCCGGGACGGTGATGGCAGTATATTATGGAGATACAGACACCTAATACGATCAAGTAAAAGGAGAGGATGCTGAAGATCAGCCCAATAGAATCGTAGTCTTCCGTGTTAGATTCGGGAGTGAACTCCATGGCTGTTTGGTCAAATGTGGTAGCATTGAAGTCTGGGTATATGGTGAATGCGAAGTTAGGCAGCATCATATCTGGTAATGGAGATTTGAGAGGCGCGCAGAAATGAAAGATATAGCTGGTTCAGTGCAACAATGTAAGTGGACTAACATTGTGCGAATACATATTATGGCAATGATTGAAATTTAACCATGTACACTGTATACCGTTTAACGCATCTCTCGTCATGAACACTATTTTTTTCCATATGCGGGTTGCTTCAAGAGAGACATAATGGACAAGGTGGAGAGCTTGCAGTGCGAACTGCCGTTGTCGGGGCCGGTGGTGCTAACATGAGAGTGACGTCGGCCGTTATCCGATTGACTCATTCGTGAGCTAAAGCAATTTAAAGTGTTTTTTTCAATGAGGAGAAATGTGCCATATTCGCGGGCTGAAAACCTGTAAGACTTGTGTGTGGTGTGCAGGGGCCATTGTTAGCGCCCCGAGGTACTGTTTGGACAAGGACAACTTCGACCCAGACTTTACCACCTCACATGTCAACATCGCTCACGCACCGGCTTGAATTCAAATTCAGGAGTTTTAATCTATTGAATGCTTACTCTGTGTCATTTTATCGAATACGGCTCAAATCTGCAAGTGCGCTATTCTCAGATCACGCAGGCAACAGAGACTGTGTTTACTGTGCTTGGTTGTCGTGGCGATTCCACAGACTTCTGCACCTGAGTATGAATGCCCACACCACGCCAACGGTATCGAATTGATTCTTTCTACTTTGAACGCAGCAGAACAAAGATAAGGTGTTGGAACAGCCGACACAAGAACCGCAAAGATCGATAGTTGTGCCCAAGAACCTGCTCGCGGCAAAATCGCAAGGCACGCATTCACTTCTCTCGCAGGCCCTCTGCGATATTCAAGTGCTATAGCGAACGGCCACAGTCTGAAAAAACCTTTATGAGGCTCTTTTAAAGATTCTAACGCCTACCTTCTACCGCTACTGTGCCTCGCCCTGCGACATCCAATCCAATGGCAGTCGACCCCAAATCCATCAAATGCAAGGCTTGTTCCAAAGACCTGGCCACGGTCACGGACTCAGGGCTTATTCCTACCCTAGATGACACCGTGAGTGAGGGCTGCGAGACTTGTCAACAATTTCGCCCCTTATTCGATGCAATGGAGGCTGCAAATACAGAGTACAGGTCTTTTAGAGACCGACGTGACAACTATCGCCCCAAACAAGATGCTCTACTGGAAGTCAGGAGAACACATATCGACTTCAACAATTGGCTGTCGGGCGTCGAGTCGAGCCCGGGACATTTGCAAACGAAGGAGGTCAATGAACCACAGGGTGAGAAGCGACCGCGGTCGTTGTCGCAATCATCCGAAACTTCAGCTCAACCAACAATCAAATCATCCCGACATGATCTCAATAAAGACGCTAGGCATGTGCGGAAGCGCTTTAGGTTCGCAGGCGAGGTTGAATTCCGCGAAGATTATCGGCCAAGTCAGAACTATGCTCGTAGCGACGAAACCTATATTCCGGGCAGATATGCGCCACCTGAGGACGGCGAGCATCTAGATACAAGTGGTAGCGCAAAGACCTTCTTGAGGTTCACAGGCATGAAGAAAGTTGGCAAAGAATGGGTTGATGTGTGGAACAATGAGGAGGGATCTGAGAGCAAGAAGGGCGGGAAAAGATCTTTCAGTACCAGAAACGAGCCAGATGCAAATGCTGCGGCTGCAGCTGTCTCGTCTACGACTGGAGAGGATACAACTCAGCTCGACGCTGCTCCAATGGACGCTCGGGCGCGAAGACTGGCGCGAAGAACACAACCGCGGCAAAATGTCGCAATGGAAAGGTGGACTGGAACGCCAAGTGGCAGCAAGCCAGTGTTGACCGAAGAACTCTTTGAGCCGACAGAAATTGTTTCTACCACGAGTTTCGATACCGCTGCGCGCGTCAGAAGCTCGACTGAGTCTTCTCAGCGGACCAATGGCGAATCCCATGACACTGCCAGACCTGAGAATCGATACTCGGAGAAAGGGACTCCTTTGCATGAACATGTTCTTGAAGAGATGCCTTCTAGAGAAGGAGGAGACGGCAACAACGAGACAGATAATGTGTCTGCTAAGGCACGACAAAACATAGGAGAGAGCCAACATGAGCACGACCTCATAACACCCTTAGATGGCGGCGAAGTACAGCGCACCAAGAGACACACGCATTCAAGGAACCTATGGATACCCAATCTGGGATACCTAAGAAGGTACACGTCGGAGATTTTTCGACTGGCAGCAACGCTGGAGACATGTCGGGTTCGCATGATCGACCTGCAGCGAGAATGCGAGTCGGTCCTTACAACGACAGTACAGAGCGCCACAATGGCGCGATAACTTCAAGCCATTCGGTCCATTCGACTGAAGCCCACCCAGTCGGTTGCGCTGAAGGTCATGCACAACATCTTGCTGCAGGAATTCCGACTGGCACCCGAAATGCGGGGACTAACGCTGCCGGAGAAATGCTAGTCATTGCTTCGCGTGCTGGCAAGGAAATCCAGTTAAGGAAGTAGATCTCCTTTGCAAACCGTCTGTTTCATTGGAGTACCTCGACATGTGATCTAGCGGGATATGCCGATCGGTGGTTGCACTAAAGGAACGATAGCTCCTGTATTGTGCCGTTCTAACCGTCGTGTTTGCAACGCAGAACCAACAATCTATTCTATCTTGTATACATGCAGGCCTCAAGGGATAACATGCAATGCCTGTGGTATCCGTTGTCGGTCTCGACCAACCTTGGTACGCTAGCCTGAAGAGTGGATAGCAATCAAGCTGGATCCACTGTTGACAAACATCAAGCTCGGCAATTGCCTAAGAGATTAGCTATCGCAATTCGGATTAGATCCAGCTGCCGCACTGCCAAAATTCTTTGGACCCCTTGACTAGCTCTTTGGTGGGTCAATTAGAGACTTTTTGCCTGACAGTGGCTAATCATACCGCACATTTCTAAGGGTGTACACAGTGGTTGAATTAAGACTGTTTCCTAATGCAGCAAGATCGATTGCAGTGGATAGACAAGCCCGTCGGATAGTGAGAAGCACGGATGGATACTCGCTAGGTTCAACAGCTACGAGCAGTTGCAGCCGACACGAATATGAATCGCTTGAGTAACCTGGGCATTATGACTGAGCTGCAAGATGGCAGGATGCTGGCAGGGCATTGTACTGAATCGGAACATATTTCCATTCATGCACATACTAGGCTGTCAGTATCCGACGTAGGGAATATCTCGCCATGTCATCTGAGACCAACCCTGTTTTCTCACGATACGTGTCCATCCATTTTGTGACCTCCAAGGGCCTGTCCCTCTGATCATGGATGTGCGGCATCGTGCGCCATCTACGACCATGATTCAGCGTGTGTGTAAATTGGACTCTAGACGCCCGCGGCGCTACTTGTTCTGTCACGTTTCATGCGCTTGATCTGATCTCCCCAACGTCCGCCCCACATCGAAGCCTGCTTGAACAGACCCGGTCAGCACGACCTTGGGACTGCCTGATCTGCAGAACAGTACTTTAACGAGGATAACGTGTGTGTACTTCCGTGTCTGGACCGCCCGACCTCGACTTCAATAAGATAAAGTTACACAAATTGGACTAATGGTATGCTTGTCAGGCTTCTGGCGCTTGTTAACTACACATCGCTCATTTGAATACAGCTCAGCCTGGGCCGTTGGGCCCAGAATTCGGGAAGCATAGAAAAGCAGATGTAATTTGGAAACTATGCCAGCAAATAATGGCTCGTGGGATGTCCTTCAAGGCACAGCGCTCGCGTGTCAGCCTCAGTTTTGTTCAGTTGCACCGATATGGCGTTGCCGGAAACACGGGTTGAACAATTTAACATAACCTTGGAAGTAATGAGCAACGTGCACAGTAACAGCATGTCATACGAAAGAGCAGCAGTGTTGAAGACTAATTTGGTTAGACAATGTAACGAAGATGATGTGAATTTGTCCTAAAGCTCTCGTATAATCATGTGAACGTGGCTGTATGCACAAATGCGGAAGGCTACTTCCGGTCGCCCAATTTGCGTCATCTCACGTGTGCCGGATCGATCGTTCCTGGATTGTTCCCAGCCGGATGGATTGAAGCGGGAAGGGAATGCTTGAACACAAGCTGGGACGCGCCACTAGAGCTAAACATTAGTGCCTCGATGGTTTCACAAGCAGATCATCTTCACACTCGAATCGATACAACAACGACCAGCATGAGCAGGTTAGTCGGGCGATCTCGGCGGCCACTTTGTGCTGCAATCGTCATCAGCGGATCGAGCTATTGATGGCCGCGAAGCAAATGCGTTGGTTTATTCAATGGCTCTCAACAGTTGCTCGACTGATGCCCTTGTGGAGACGTGAGCTATTCAGAATGTCAAATTCAGTATGAGCATGGTTCCGAATCACCCAGACAGCAGCCACAGTGGCGAGCCACACTACGCTAAGAGGTAAAGTTATTCAGGGTGTGTGGCTGGGGCACAACGGTCCAGGGATTACCTTGATGTTCGGGATACGTGAATAGCTACGCAAAGCAAACAAGCAACCCCATGTAGCGAGAAGGCAACAATCGTGCCAGAATCCGGACCAGCGGCAACTCCGTATTCACAGCATGTGCAGCACACTCGTTTTGTCGATCTCGCCTTGGCCAATGGGCGTGTCGAGGATGTTGTCTCGACTCTTTCAATTAGGTGGCCAACGTGGTCTTGAACTTCGTCACTAACAGCTGATGTTCGGTGGTTCATCGGCCAAGAAGCTTTGGAGATTGGCTCTTCCGACACTACCCCTTCAAGCAGGTCGTTTAGGAATCTTGACCCAGCCACGAGTTGAGGCTTCGAAGGTTGCATGCAGATGTAGCACACAAAAAATAGCTTCACCGGATGGTCTATGCGCGCGTGCGGATCCGATGGGATTTCCTCAATCATCGATGCGAGTTACATGCAAGACTTCTAAATTCGAGCGCAAAACCGAGGCATTGCCAATTAGACGGCGGCCAACAATCACAGGCGGTGTGTACTCCGCGAACAAAAGGCACAAGAGACTAGAATCGTTGAAACGCCCCGTACATCTTGCTACGTGATTTAGGGTCCACACCGGGCCGCAGTGAACCAGCCACAAGATGCCGCCTGAGCACTTCTAGCACAAGTCTAGGCGCCGTCGCGACGCAAGTCAGTTGACATCCCGCCCGTGCTCGCCCGTTCCCCCTTGCCGAATTGAGGCACGGTATCTTACATGGAGTGGCTGGTTCCCTTTGAATCTTGTGCAAAAAGAAACATCGAGAAGGTTGCCGTTTCTCGTCTCAACTGTTTGTGTGGCGTCGTGGGGCAAAGAAAATAGGGTTGGTGCCGCCGCCAACTAACCACAAGTCGTACTCTCAGCTGCTAGGTGACCGTTCTTCGCCTGTACTTCTTCGAGGCACATAGAGGAAGCATCGTGTGTGTTTGATGTCCCTGTATCGTCCGCTAGCATCAAAGACTCCGCATCGCCGAGCCAGGAAGCGAAGTCAATTTCGCTCACCCTAGTAGAGATGACGACAGGCAGGCTTCACCGCCAAAAGACGTTGTGGTGGGATGCGATGATTTGAGACGTCAGATCGTCGCTGCAGCCGACTCCTGGCGGGCATGGGTAGGGTATGGGGTGGTTTTCGTTACGAGGCACCACACCCCAAACCTTAAGTTGGCGTCAAGCAGGGGTAGACTACGAAGTGAGCGAAGACGGGATACCATATTGGTTGCCTGAACGTCAGGCAAGAAGGTGGCACGGGGACACGGTTCCGACTGCGTGCTTCGAGTATTGACAACATGAAATTGATGATGTGCATATCTCGTCAGAAACAGCTGCTGCGATTCGCTGGCTGCGCTTGATTGGTCGGAACTTGTCCCGCAAGCACGGTTGGGGTCAAGATTTTGTGATTTTCAAAGACTCACCTCTACGCCTCCACGTATCTTATCTCGGTTCGTCAAACGACCACTTGCACAGAAGTCTCGTCATGCACGTTCACCGACATCTCTTAAAACGCGCTCGTCAGAGGGCAGCCATTCAGTGTCAGTAATGAATATGCAGGGCAAGGTTGACTACATAATACCTATGCAAGGCATCCCAATCTACTCTTGCGCACGGTCTCTGCGGTGAAGGCGTCAAGCCACATGATACGATACACTACATGCAGATCCTCAACGCCCGTGCTGGAAGGTGGCGCAGGGTTGTGCGAAGCATGTTGTCAGATCAATATTCTCGAAGGAAAGATCAATATTCTCGAAGGAAACTCTAATCATGCTCTAGTGCCTTACTATGTTGACGGCTTCTAAGGACAGAAGGTAGGTGGAGGGCAGAGACAGAAAACACAGAGGATTTGCGAGTCTCTGACGATGTCCCTACAAGTAGCGATGCAAATTGGCACTGAGCTTCAGTTGTAAATGTTGAATTTGTTGCTTGTTCTATTATACTATGCTGCATGCCGGTCGTATATTCGGCGACAGTGTTCTTCGTTCAAAATTCTAGCCCCTCGAACCATCTTAAGTTGACGTTCCTCAAATCTGGACAAGGTCATGTTTCTCCCCAATATTCAGGGCTCCTAGCAAAAGGCCCTTGTGCAGGTATACCATGTCATGGGTTCTTTGGTTTGCTAGTCGTAGTCTTCCACGTATTTGCCGATGGAGGCTTTTACAAGACATGTATAGTTGTGTTAGGATCTCCACGGATAAATCGGCATGTGGGGCATGCGGATGCTACCAGGGCGCTGCCGCTGACTCAATTACTGCGCCAGTTGCGAATTTGAGGCGTCTTCGCTTCTTTTAGTGTCCATTATTTGAGCCCCAATGTGGATTCAGGGTACGATGGCTTCCTGCTCTTCCCACTGCCACTGCTCAACGAGCTGCTTAACCCTGTAGTCGGTTGACCAACCGATATTCGATTCAACATCCTGAAGTAGGTTGAGGACTACTTGGCGTTCCCGAGCATCACTGAGGCATTGTCCGGCGGTGAACAAAGGCTGGACTGATTGGATGCGTACCGCTTCGTCAGAACAGACCAAAGAAATGCCAACGATTTCGCGGCTATGCTTTTGGCAAGCTGCCAGGACCGATTGGTACGAGTTAAGACGTGCACACACCGTGCTGCCGCCTTGAGTCGACTCGTGGGGCTTGTTCATGAAAAGCAGAATCTGGCTCATGTGGTATGTCTGCATGGTGGCTGCGCACATGGGGATGCTGTACCAAATCTCGGTGAACATGGATTCGTTGTCGTTTTTGAGGAGGCGTCCCGGGGTACGCGAGGGTTCCACTCGAGCGGAAGGCTGGAAAATTATTGGCAGTCCGTCGTGCCATACCTGAAATTGGTTTTGCAGACTGTGCCAGTAGTCGAGTAACGTGCGCTGAGTGACTCCGGTCCATGATCCCATGTCGTTAGTGGTAAGAGAGTCGCCAGCAGCCATGTAGTTGACCAGCTTGGCCATGAGCCAGATGAGGGCGTTGCAGATAAGATCTTCGCTCATCGTACTCTGTGCTTCACCTTGGTAAACGTTCAAAGGTTTGTTGCTCGGAACGATAAAGCCTTGCTCGTCGATAAGAAGGCCAGCTTCTCTCCATAACGCACGATCCTCTGTATCAAGCCTTGTGTGGGTTTTGTTGATGACTGTTTATTGTCAGTTCTTGCAGATTCACGATGCGGTGATGACACTTACGAGCTGAGAGCACGTCCTGTCTGGCAATGTTCCAGAACGTAGCTCTGCGAGCTTTGGAGACGAAGTTGTAGGTAGCTGATGACACTGGAGAACCAGGTGAGGGCATCTGCAGAGGCTTCATACGCTCTTGTGTGAGGACTAGAAGTGACTTTGCTCCATTCAGATGTCCAGCCCACTCAGAGATTGAGGTGTCCAAGAATTCGTAGACACACAGGATGGCCGAGGCTGCCAGCAGATCATCGGGATTGGACACGAAAGAGGCGCTACTAGATGTCCGACGACGTTTGGGCGCTTGTGCATCGAATGCTTGCGCTATGTTTCCGTTATGGTGTCTTAGCTCGCAGTCCGTAGACTCCGGTGTAGAGTTGGTATCATTTTTGACTGCCTGAAGTAATAGGGACACAGCATTGTCATAGAAGACAGCCGCCTTGTGCTTCCAATCGACCACTGACGCTTCGGGGTACATATCAGGACGACTCGGACGCATGCTACTTCGTCTGCTGCCTTGGAGACGTGCAAGAGCCTTGGCTGCACAGGCCACTGCGGCATACTTGAGCAACGGGTTCTCACGTGCCTTGACGGGTACATACGATGCAAAGTAAGTACCAAGGTCGTTGAGATCCATCCAGTACCCTGGACCTTCAGAAAAATACCTTAACAGAAAGGCAATCTCGTGATCTTTATCGATCAGGGACTCTCTGTCTGAACGAGGAGGTGAGCGACGTGAGCTGGCTATTGAACTTGATCGAGGCATGTAGTCTGCGGAAGGATCGTAGGGGGAACTAAGGCGGGGATCGATTGGTGGCGGTGTTGATGAAGTTGTGTAGTCGATGATGGGATGAATGCGTCGATTGCAGAGGGAAGCGGGCGGCGAGATTGGCGTCGCTGCAGCGGATGTTGGAGTTGACTGTGTGAGAGGTGGTAACGCCTCTAATTCTGGTGTGTAACACATTGGCACACTCGTCGGAGCGTATTCCGGCCCCATACTGGCAAGGTGTGCTAGGATGTGAATGAAAGTTATTGGCTGTGCGCCATGTTGCAAGTGGCCAAGGCTCAAATGGTGCTGGTGATTCCATAGAACCGGCAGACAATGTGTCGAAATCAGGCGTACACGGATCCAAGTATGGATTTGTGGTGTTGATGAAAGTCACTAGATCTTGTGAGCTTAAAGGCTGTACTACTTCAAGACTTAACATACCATTTCTTGGGATGTCCATCCATATAGTGTCTTCATCGAATGTGTTCTTATATGCATAGAAGCCCTTCAGCGAGTTCTCGTCGCCGGAGTCGTCGCCATTCATGGAGGCATTATGTTGGTGGCGGAATACAATGCCTGAGCTGGGGATGCATTCTCTTGAAGCCTTGGTACATTGTGAGCACACTGGCTTCTTCTCGTCACACTTTAACTTTCGCTGCCGGCAGGTGAGACTGGAGCGACGTTAGAAGGTTGTCGTCGTGAAGGGAAAGCACCGCGTACCATCCGGTTCGTGAACGCATGTTGATTTGGATTGATTTACTGTAGGTGGGTCTATCTGGGATGTGTTCAGTCGTGGAAGAACTCGTGACGAAGCGTTGTGGGTTTCGATGAGCACCCACCTGAGTCGGAGCGCGCTGTGCTATATCTATATCAGCATGACGGTGAGTGATGAAAGCGTATAATAGTGCTGGTTGGATGCGGGGTGTAGCATGGTTCAAACCACTGCGGATCCACCGTCACAATCTAAGACCAAGGCCTGTAAGAATTCGCGCAAGGCTTTTTCCTTGCCCTAGTCTGCATCACCCTGAATCGCAATCGCGTTGCTCGATCTTGAGCTGGGGTAGAACCATCCACTAGACTTCAGTGTGCAGTAATGGCCTGTTGGTGGGTCCATGGGCGAGCCATGTCGCGTCAAGCGCCGCATCCATGCACCCATGTGTTTGATGCCGAGTCATGGCCGAGACGCAGATGCATATCACTTCTAGCTCGGAAATAAGGGCACTAGGCAAGGTCGCGAAATTTAAACTTTTCTCCTGACGCCGCTGCACTCGCGTAATGGTGTAGATCGGCCCGTTTACTTGTACTAGGCCCGTCTCGTAGTAATGTCCCCCTACACCCTGCTCAGATCCGGATTGATCCTTCCGTCGTAGCATTGCTACCGCGTGCTAAGAAACCTATCGAGTCGGTCGGAGTCAAGTCCATGGCTGTTGAAGAGCAAGTGAGCAGCGCGTCAGACGCCCTTATCAGCGGGAAGACGCGAAGCACGTTCGACTAGATCGATTTTCCATGGAACGTTGGAAGCATCGGAGAAACCGCGGGATCCTCACCGCTTTTAACCCGTTCTGTAGCCTTTGCAGTGTCCATAGATGGTTAGCGGGCCATCATTATGACAGTTTTGGCTTCTTCTTGGGGCGTTCTGGCACTGCGGCCTCAGCAGCATCACTATCCGCGCCACCCTCTCCCATCTCAGCGTCGCTGTCTGAGCCACTGCTTTGGTGATCCGAATCGAATTCCTCGCCGACTTCTGACTCGGAGTCGGCCTGGAAGTCCTCGTCAACGCTCTCATCGTCTTCGTCTGCGCTACCGCGATTCGCTGGCGCTCCATCGTCGCTCGAGGCGAGGTCCTCATCTTGGAGGGCGGCTGCCAGTATTGCGCCCGACTATACTGTCGTTAGCTCGATCATGGCATCCATTGAATGCTGTCTTACATCATCTGCCATCTCGTTCTTAGTCTTGATCCCTTTGGCACGAAAGAAGTTCTCGAGTGGTTGTTGCTCCTCGCTACAGAAACGCGTCAGTCAGCTGATTACAAAGAGACTTTACGAATCACTTACCGATTAATGTTGGAGAACTGATGCTCTGCCATGCCTCCTTTCATGGTGAAAGTGATGTCAAACGTACGACTAGCTGCCATGGCGCCACCAACACGCGACATGGTAACAGAAGCAATGTTGTCCATGCTGATGTAGGTAGCCGGCTTGGGAATGAACATGAAAGCCTTGTCGAGACAGAAAAGATGTCCTTCGTTGGCCTTGATCGAGCATTTGACACCCGACTGCTCGTGGTGGCTGATGAAGTCACGAGAAGGACGAGTGACACGCTTTCCGCTCAAGCCGCGAAAAATGTCTGCCACTACGACGGCTATAGGTGCCTCGTAATGTGATTGAAGCTTGTCCTTGTACTTGGATTCGAGTAGATCTTCCTTCATGTTCAGATCAAGATTCACTTCCTCATCGCGCTTGAATTGCATGACGAGGAACGGGTATCGTGTCTGACCCTGTCTTAGAGGGGGATCGAGGCCGATGGTGATCAGAGTGTGCATATCGTCGGGCTTGGGGAGCACCATGAACTTCTTGACCGAGTCGAATTGTATCTTGTAGTCGTATGTCTTGCCTCGCAGCCGGAAAGAGCTTTCGTACATATCGATATCGAAACGACCTCTGCGGCGCTGTTAGTTGGTGCAAATGACGCTAGTCTGGTCCGACTCACCTTGGTGTCAGATGAAGAATATCCAAGAACGTAGCAAACGTATCACCAGCAACTTCTCCAATCTCGGCCTTGTCCATGAGAGTTTCGTAGAATAAGTTCGCGGCATTTTGCTCTTCACCGTCTCCGTCCTCAGCTCCTGAAACATCTTCTCCGTCCTCATTCTTCTCCTTCTTGGTGGTGACGCCCGGAATGTAGAAGCGCATTTCTACGAGTTGGTCCCGGGCCCCCGCAGATTTCTTGCCTCTGAATTTGGCTCCTCCTAGGTGCCCATTCGCACCAGCATCGCCATCAGCCGGAAGGGAGAAGTCTACTGCAACCTCGTTCTTGCCAGCCAGGTTTGTGTTGGAGACTTCAGTGTACGGCACTTCAAAGGCGGGACGGTTGGCGACGTTGAAGGTGAGTTCAGCTTTGCCGAAGTCGGCCTTGCCCCAGTTCCACCCGCGCAGAGCGTGCTCGCGATTGTCCAAGTTGATGCCATACCAAGTTTTGAACAGCTTGGAGACGCGATCGAAGTCGTCTGGCTTGAATCCGTCTAGCTGTATGATTCCGTCGTTGCGCGAGAGGATCTTGACCTCGTAGCCCCGTGCCGCGCGACTCCATTGAGCCGAGATAATCTGTGACTGGTCGCATGTGTATGTCTCGCCATTTGCAGGCTTCCAGCCAAAGCCAGAATCCGAGAACCGAGTTGCGCCTGGCTTCCTCGACAAGTTGAGGTAAATCTCGGGGAAAGCCTCCCTGAAAAAATTAGCTACCAACACCGCTACAACTACGACCCAAACCCTCAAAAGACTCACATTTTGCAGTCGCCTCGAGTTAGTATCCGGTTACAACCAAAGATAGAGTTGAGTCAAAAGGTGGTGTTGACGCGACACCAAATATCGATTGTTTCGAGCTCACCATCCATTAGCTCTCTTACTTGGCAAACGCGTTGGCCGTGCTTTGGCGCTAGAGCACGTGATAGCGCGTTATCTCACCCCACGTTCTGAATACGTTGCCTCAACGTCTCGACCAGCACCATCACCTGCTACCCCACCTGTAGCCCAGCATCTCCTTAGCTATTGTACGCCCCGTCAATTCATGTTTGTGTCAGCAGTGATGCTGTTCAGTCCCTCCACGGCCTCCATTGACGCCACGCTATAAAGAACCGTACAACTCCATCGACATCCTGCTCCGATATACCTTTCATATTTGCTATTGGATGTCGTCACTCCACACTGAAGATATCAATGTCAGCTCATTGCTTGCTATTGTGTAAAAATGGCCGCCTGTCAACGATCCAGGTTGTTGCGGTCTTGCATGATAATACATCATCCACCCCCACTTGCTACTGTCCATTCATGCAACTTTTTTTCTTCTCGTCCAGGGTACACCGGATTACTCTTTTCGTCCTCGGGGTGATAGGCTGAGGCTCGAAGCGTCATGGGCATGTCGGTTCAATCCGTGCGGCCTTACTTCAAAGCAGCGCCGAAGGGACAGCAAGCGGAACCGCACTGAGCTGCAGCAATGGCGACGCGTGATGTTATCACACACGGGACGATGGCCATGGTTTATCCGTATCCCAGGATCATTGCGTGGGTCAAACGGGTGTGCCCAGCAGGTTATTGCGTCAAGAGCAGGTGTGAAAAAGGCCCGATACTACCGGATTCGTTCCGGTCATGTCAATTATGCAGTCTCCCCACTCACACGTACATATAGTGTGTACCAGCAAGTCACGCATGCTCGTTTACCCATGTCGCCCGTTGGGTCCGCCGTATTGCCAGCGGGTGTAATCCCGCCTCGTCCCTGTAATACCAGGTTCTAGGGACGTTCGCATTTTCACCATCGGGTCTTGCAGCCGTGAGGACATACTGTGCACAGTATTCATAAGGCCCTTGTCCTCCGCGAATGTACCGGCTGCTAGGTATGTCCCGGCCGTGGTCGAAGTTGGACCTAGTTTTGGGTACAACACTGATACAAGCGCGCAATATGGCCGGTGCCATTGATGTTTGATAGGTGTTTTTGTCGATGCAGGACCCTGACCTGGGATGTAGGTTCCCGCGGGAGACCTGGCTGTTCTATGGTACCATACAATCTTATCTACGAGACCGTCTTTGATATTGGGCTCGGCTTGTAACCACAATCTTTCTGAGGTGTTCGGCTTTTCGCTCGCTCATGCCCAGCTGGCCCCGCCAATGTCTTTCCCTGGGCGGCGGCGATTGCCGTTGCAGAAGGCGTTTGCTGTCAGTCAATCCTTTAGGAAAAGTATTCGAAGTGCATCAGCACAGAGACCATTCACTATCCATAATGCAGCTTTGGGAGAGCACAATTTCCTAAAGCGTGCATATGAGGCTGAGTGACTTCCCAGCTGGCTGGACGTCCCGAGCTTACACAGGCGCATCCACGGACGCTAAAGGAACTATCCTTCCGAACCGATGTTCGTGTGAGCTTTAGTCTCTCTCCGCACCCGACAACGATATGAGCAGGAGGTAATCGCCGACTTGGGAGTTTCACTTGCGCGGTCTTACAGTCGTCGAGAGGGGAAGCTCGCCGCTTCCAGCGCTGCTTGTCTAATCGGTCCTTTACGCAAGCCCAGGTGGG